CACACAGCACGAAGAAGGCAAGTATAAGGGGAAGATACAAGGAGTTTGCGGGTGGAGAAAGGTAGGAGAAGCCAGTACCGACGAAACAGGCTGAGGGAAGCAATACACTGGCAGGAAATTTGGGAAATGGGAGGATGCCAGGAAAGGTTTTGGTCAAAGATTACTCCTAGGTTTTTAACCGAAGGGAATGGGATGGTTATTTAGCATGAGAGGTGGGACGCAGGGGAGGGAATTGAGGAGTTGCCTGGACCCGATAATTATGGCGGTGGATTTGGTCGGATTGAGGAATAGGGAATTTTTACGTGCCCATTTGTTGATGGAGTTCACGTCTTTTTGGATCTTGAGAATGGCCGAGTGGATATCGGAAGGAACCATCCCTAACCACCCCTAACCATTCTTTACCATCCCTAAATACCGCCCATTCATCAGGTAATTTTGTCTAGAGCTGGTTTCCTCTTTACTTAATTGTACAATATGTTAATATATATACGTAAAACGCACCGCTTTTTCTTAAATTTATTTTTGATTGTACTCAATAATATTTTTGATAAAACAAGGATACCTTGGAACTCGAGTTTTCAGAGATAATGTATTAATTGAATTTCAGTACGGCTTCAGAAAAATCTTCAATACTTATTCAGAAATCGTGAGATGCGGTCTGGTGTGATTTCTGAATAATTATCGATTAACGGTCACTAATCACCACACAAATTTTCATTAAAATAGACAACATGTATAATTTTGTAAACATGGTCAAAATTAAATTAAGCAGCAAAAGAAACAAAATGTATACGTATTTTGTTTATTTCTCCTGTGCGTTTGATACGGTTGATAGGCACGCTTCATTTTATAAACTCACGCATCTCGCAATGTCAACGAAAATGTTCAACTCTATAAAAGGTCTACAGCAAGAAACTAGAAATGGTTAACAAATAGGCCTGGGTGTTGAGCCCTTTACAGTTCTTCCTTTTTACAAATGACGCTAAAGTATGTAAAAATGGCGGTTGGGTACATGTAGGCAACAGAAGAGTGAAAGTCCTAGAATATGCTACCTGATCTTATTAGCCTCTAAACCACACGCTTTGCAACGAATTATCTACACGTGGAATTTCAAACTTCACAAGTCAAAATTAATGATATTTTGCAATGGGGTAAAGAGGTCGAAAATAGAAAATTGGTTTTATAACGGGGAAGCAAGTGAAGAGGTTAACTGTTATAAATAGGTTACTTGCGCAGGCTATCCTCAATTAAAAATCATTAGGAAAATCCTAATAAAGAAAATATGCATTAAAGTCGATATGGAATGCACTAATTGAAAACAATTTGGTATCATATGGGGCACAATTAAATGTGTAATCGTTCAAACCGGTCTACCCTATGCTATGGAGGGCCAATTTGGCGTGGTGAGTGGTACAAGGAAATTAAAAAATTATTTAGGTATTTTATTAAGAAGTTGCTTAGATTACCATCCTATACGCGTTCTGCATTATTTCACATAAATACAAGAATAGGGCACACATTATTACACAAAGTGAAACTGTATTAAAATGTTGAACATGCCAAAATTTAGATTGCCAAAATTGCTTGTAATGGAGATCATAAAAATTTCGGAAAAACAATAATTACATGAGGAAATTTAATTTGGGAGCTTCTTTAAATAATGGTAATATTCATTGAAAAAATACTGCAAGTAATTAGGAATTTGTTACTTGATCGTTATAATGCCAAATATATGGATCAGATCAAGATTTCTGAGAAGTACACGTTAAGAAGTGAAATTTGTATAGCAATTTGCAACTTTATAGTCAAAAATTGTTGTTACAATAAGTTAGACATTTGGGAGTCATTATTTTTCCAGTTTGTAACACATAAGAAAAAGAAGATATGTACCATTTTCTTCCTTCTCTGCCCTAAATATAATAATTTCCTGCGGGTGTTTCAAACTGACAAGATAGATCAATTTTATACGCTGAAATGTGTGGTGATTAGTGATAGTTAGTCGATGATTATTCGGAAATCATGAGATGCGGTCTGGTGTGATGTAGGTTTCAGAAAAACATTTTCTTTATCGTGCCAACGTTTCGATCTTTATTGAGATCATCTTCAGGGTCTTTGGGATTTACAAACATTGTTAAAATTTAACAAATACATGTAGGATGTGGAAAAAAGTGAATTTATACAATGCAAAAAATATTTTTTATATTCAATCAAAGTATTTCTATTCACTCAAAGTGTTTGTTTTCTGCGTAATTGTGCCATTCTTGCGTGTCATGTTGAGAGTGCCAATGAGAAATTTATATACGTTGGATTTTAAAGGGGTGGGGAAGGAAATCTGTATAGAAAGACATTTTTGTATAAGGAGTCGGCTTCTTTGAGGTGAAAAGAGCCGACGAAGGAAAAAAATATGTTGGTAATGGTTCAGTCAGATTATCCTTTCAGGATTATATTGAAAGGGGTAAAATAGGAAAAGGAAAGCTAAATTGTTGGAAAATTAGACTATGTGAAAAATATTGGATGTGTGGAATGTAATGTGATGATATAGGTATGTCATATGTATTGAATTTGAACATATAACATACCTAATCATCACATTACATTCCACACATCAAATATTTTTCACATAGTCTAATTTTGCAACAATTTAGCTTTCCTTTTCCTATTTTATCCATCATCCTTCCCCACCCCTTCAAAATCCAACGTATATAAACACAAAATAGCAAAATCTCACTGGCACTCTCGACACGACACGCAAGAATGGCACAATTACACAGAAGACAAATACTTTGAGTGAGTAGAAATACTTTGATTGAATATATAAAAAATATTTTTGGATCCTAATAAATTGTAAATACCAGGCCCTGAAAATGGAAAAAATGGGAAAAAAGTTTGTAATGATTCGGCCAGATTATCCATTCAGGATTATATTGACGGGGATAAAGAGGAAAAGGAAAGCTAAATTATTCAAAAATTAGACTATGTAAAAATGTTTGATTTGTGGAATGAGATGAATGTTTTATATGTTATAATATGTGTTTTGTGTGATGTAATGATATATATATATATATGTTATCTATATCTCACTGGCACTCTCAACACTACACGCAAGAATGGCACAATTACGCAGAAAACAAACACTTTGAGTGAGTAGAAATACTTTGATTGAATGTAAAAAATATTTTTTGCATTGTATAAATTCACTTTTTTCCACATCCTGCATGTATTTGTTAAATATAAACACTGTTTGTAAATCCTAGGTCCTGAAGATAATCTCAATTACCGAATAGAAAAAAAAAGCCAGTTGCTTACTAGCTGTCGTAAAAGTATTTATGAACTTATGAACAGATTATTAAACAAGTAAACTATGTTTTAAAACAGATTATTTTTCATTTGTTAATATTTACTGTGTCCATAATTTCATATAATAACTGTATTTAAGGACATTTTTATTTACATTAGTATTCTTTATTTTTGTTTCGCACGTATTAAATCTAATGAGGCTCCTCAGACTGTTTAGGCCATTAAATCTGTCTTTAGTAATAAACTAACACACCAAAATTATAAATGAAAATGTATCTGTAAAATAATAAAGGCTAATTTAGATAAATACGTAAATATTTTAAAAGCCGTTCCAGAAACTAGTGTAAAAGAGGAAACCCGCAAAGGGAGATAATTTTAATTACAACAAATATTTTTAAAGATATACATTCTCCCTACCTCCCTTTGGCCTCTCTTTATAGGCGAAGCCAAAAGAAAGCCTTAAAAAGTTAAACCCTAAACAAAAATTGTATTTTTAACGTGCCATGTAGCTGTTTGTTCCGTTGGTATGGAGTACATAGGCATAGCCGCTGGAGGATGGGCAAAAAAAGACTGGATGGTGAGATTTCCTCTAAGAACCCGATCAGACTCGGCGCTGAAGATAGCGAAAAACTGAAACGCCTCTTACAGACCAAAATGATAGGAAAAAACCAAACTTTAAATATAGATTTATTACGTTGCGTGGTCCGCTTGACCAAATAAATTCTTTTCAATTAATTAAGGTTTTGGTTGAGATAAAAAAAGTCAGTGTCTCGAGCGGGATTCGAACCCACGACCTTCGGCTAAATACGCCGCTGCTCTACCACTTGAGCTATCGTGACTACAATCCACTCGGACGCCAACTTCCCACCTCAACCCCGCCTCCGAGTGATCGAAGTCACGATTGTTAAAGTGGTAGAGCAGCGGCGTATTTAGCCGAAGGTCGTGGGTTCGAATCCCGCTTGTGACACTGCCTTTTTTATCTCAACCAAAACCTTAATTAATTGAATAGAATTTATTTGGTTAAGCGGATCACGAAACGTAATAAATGTAATAGGCAAAATGAAGTATACTTCACTAGCTCCCCGTGGCCATTTCGTTTGCCGCCGAGAATCAAATAAATTACACGACATTTGAAAAATGGCAAAAAGGAGGGAAAATTCAAACAGTGGGGTTAAGATGGGAAGTTAGTGTCCGAGTAGATCGAAGTCACGATATCTCAAGTGGTAGAGCAGCGGCGTATTTAGCCGAAGGTCGTGGGTTCGAATCCCGCTTGTGACACTGACTTTTTTATTTCAACCAAAACCTTAACTTACGAATAGGCCATACTTGGCAACCTAAAAATTCACAACGTTCGAAAGGAAAAAGTGTAGAAACAACTCAAGACGTTTAAAACAAAATTGAAAATGGAAAGCAAGGACGATCACAATGACCAACTGGAACAAACCACAAAACACAAACTTAAGACATTAAATAGGTACAAAGACAAAGAGAGCACTGACCTTATACCTTTCACCTTTCACGAAGAACATATAGATAGGACCCGATTGTTCAAAAATCCACCACTTAAGATGGCGATAAGCTGTAAACACGTCTGATAGATAAAAACAGTAAGTATATACAGACGACCGAACAACATAAATCGCACCTTGTGATAAATTTAGTACTACATATATCAAAACGTTTGGATTCATTTTCATTTTCAGGATGCGCATACGGTTGATTTTGGGGACTTCAATATTGGAAGGACGAACATTACCACAATCAGATTAATTGACACGTGGGAATTTGACGTGCAAAAAACTGTTTTCGATTTCAACGACGAGGTGAATAAATTAGGAGTGCGCAACGGCCACATGTCACCGGAAGCCATTAAGGTAATTGAATTGCCCATTGGCCGAGCTGTGATGCCGTTTGGAAAACAATGCGCATTTAATTTCAGGTGGAGACCGCTCTAGTGCACGACGCGGTCAAATACATAGGGACGAGCTTCAAAGCGTATCACAAAAAGCACCCCGGTCAAATGAGACATCAAAAGCTCTCCTGCAAAAACAGGATGAAGTTGAAATTCGGACAAACATTCGGCCGGGTTATGAAATCGGTAGGTATAAATGTGTGGTGTCTAAATAAAGTTGATATTTCATTAGATTTCGTGGTCCGATTGACCAAAAAACATCTTTCAATTAATTAATCTCTATGTAAGGTTCACTAATTTCGTGGTCCGCTGGACCAATTAATATATTGCAATTAATTAAGGTTTTTAGTTGAGATAAAAAAGTCAATGGCACGAGCGGGATTCGAACCCACGATCTTCGACTAGATACGCCGCTGCTCTACCACTTGAGCTATCGTGAACGCGATCCACTCGGACACTAACATGGGAAGTTGGGGGAACACCACCTTGTCGTCGAGAATCCAATCCGATTACACGACATTTGAAAAATGGCAAAAAGGAGGGAAAATTAAAAAAAAAAGTGGGGTTGAGATGGGAAGTTAGTGTCCGAGTGGATCGAGGTCATGATAGCTCAAGTTGTAGCAGCGGCGTATCTGGCCGAAGATCGTGGGCTCCAATCCCGCTCGTGCCATGGATTTTTTATCTCACCTAAAAACCTTAATTTATGTAAGGTATTGGTCAAGATAAAAAAGTCAGTGTCACGAGCGGGATTCGAACCTACGAACTTCGGCTAAATACACAGCTGCTCAAGTGGTAGAGCTGACTTTTTATCTCGACAAATACCTTACACAAAGATTAATTAATTGAAAGTGATTAGTGTTTGTCGTTTAACGAGTGGATGAACACATTTTAATCAGATGTATTATTTAATCAGACACCAATTATATTCTGGGTTTATCTATTCTCGCTTGTTACGATCAATATATCCACTTTTCACTAAGGTACGTACATTTCATTACAATATGTCCCGCTTATAAGTAAAACGTAAACAAACGGGGACTGACGGACCCAGTACAGAGATCAGTGTCGATCTGTTTAACATAACATTGCGGTTGTATTTCTTTTTTTGGCCATTTTACAGAAACAAAATTGATTCGATTGGTCTTAAATTAAAAACACATAGGCTTAGGAGAATTTTTTTTTATTACTCAATTTTCTGGTGATAGTTTTAGGTTTTGATCCTACTAATTTATTTTCCAAGTTATGATCAGAACAATTAGGACGATAGCGGACTCTCTCTTTTTTATTATATTGCTACCCTCAATTTGTCACAGTGCCTCGTCAGTTGTGGATATAACAACACAAATAACAAACACAGATACATATAAAACAGAAATCAGATAGTCATTCATAATAGTCTGGTTAGCATTGACACTTTTCCAGAGGACTTGATATTTCTATGGGTAATTAGAGATAAGCCCTCCAATCGCGCGAATACATTAGATTCACACACCAGACTTTCTTCACACTACCCAAGAGTACTCGACATTAGTGGGGGTATTAAGGCTAAGCACCTCCTTTTGCCCTAATAAGTTACATTTACACCGCAATTCATTCCCACTACCCGAGAGTACTCGATACTCCCCGGGGTCATTTGGGGATAATGCTCTATTGACGCTTATAATTTATATTCACACAGACTTGGTTCACTCTATCTCAGAGTACTCGGCATTACTGGGGGTATTGGGGCTAAGCACCTCCTTTTGCACTGATAAGTTATATTCACAACAGACTTGGTTCACTCTACTCCTGAGTCCTCGACATCACTTGGGGTATTAAGGCTAAGCACCTCCTTTTGCCCTAATAAGTTACATTTACACCGCAATTCATTCCCACTACCCGAGAGTACTCGATATTCCCCGGGGTCATTTGGGGGTAAGTACTCTATTGACGTTGATAAGTTATATTCACACCAGACTTGGTTCACTCTACCCCAGAGTACTCGACATTACTGGGGTATTAAGGCTAATCACCTTTTGCGCTAATAAATCACATTCACACCACAATTCATTCGTACTATGCGAGTATTCGATATACCTCGGGGTATTTTGATAAGCGTCTAGAATCTATTTAATAAATATAATCAATTTAATGTTTGAAATATGTGTCAAGAATTTTCAATCATTGCCTATATTTTTCATGAAACAAACGTATGATTTGAGTTTTAGGTTCAATCGACAGGTTTGACTGGAAAAGCCAAATTCGATGAGTTCGGAAGAAGGATATATTTCACCCTGCATATCACGGAGCTTACGAAAAATGGGTACAGAAAAATCGGCTCCTGGGACCCCGAAAACGGAATACTCTATAACAGGACAAGGAGCGAGATGGCCAGGGACATTTACCAACACATCAGCAACAAGACTTTTATTGTCGTTTCACGCCTGGTCTGCCTCAACCGTGCTAACACTGACGAAACAATACTACAACTTTCGTCGATTTCCAGGGCCCGCCTTACCTGTTCCCCAAGGAAAGCCTCGAGGGCAACGACAGGTTCCAAGGATATTCCAAGGACCTCATAGACGAGATTGCCAAGGAGTTGAACTTCAAATACAAATTCGTCCTCGCACCGGACGGCGAATACGGATCTTACAACAAAGATACAAAGCAATGGAACGGGCTTATAAGAGAACTGCAAGAGAGGGTATTCTTAATTTAAATACACTTGAAATATTACTTGATATTATCATGCCGGAACGGTTCCCTACGTGAATCTCGCTTTAAAAAGAGATTACCGAATGAAGATAAAAAGAAATCCACTTAAGGTCCCAGAAGAGGGAGATAAAAAGAGTCAGGAATAGATTCTCTAAAAGGGAATTCACTTGGGGAATCAATTCAGATCGAATTGAAAAATGCAATAAAACTATATAACATTTAATTAAAATATTTATTTAACTTGTACTTATTTAACATAATTAATTTATTTATGAATAAAGCAGAAAACATTATTGCAATAGCATTAAAGTATACTTCAAATACACAAGATCAAACAAAAAGCCGAACCATTTTTATTAATTCAATATCTTACTTTGGGAAAATTGTGTTTGCGAAGTGAATGGAAGTCTCACGGATATTTTGCCATTTGTCAAATCTCACAAAGCTTCCCTTTGAAGTTAGCCCGACCTCAAGAAAAGCCAGTTCGTTAAGTGAAATTTTCTTTAGTCGCACAAAGAGGCAATCTGTCTATGGCTTAATTTTTGTTAATTATTATTTCCTAAGCTCTTTCATAATACATCAGAAAATGAGATTTTTCTATTTGTACATCTTCAATCACAAACTAAAATAAGTTAAACCCCATCTCTATGAGACATCAACATAGTTCAACCTGATCATGTTATTTATTACATGCTTTAATAACCAAGAAACACCACAAATTGATTTTAGACTCATCTTTTGATCGTTATAATTTATATTGATTACATAATTCAATTATTTATATAAGACAGTTGTGATATCAAAATTGTTATTATTCCCCGTCATCAAAGTTTTTGTAATCGTGTAATTAAAGGTGCATAAATCCTATTCATGTTTATCAATAAATTATTATACAGGGTGTCCTTTTTAGACAACCGGCTGAATTTCTCTTGAACCAGTGACGCAAGAAAAAAGTGTTTAATATTTTTTTAAGTTTATTTTCAAATTTTTACCGATTTAACTCCATTAACCTCTCCAGCCTTAATCCAGCAACCTCAGTTGACGTAAATTAAATGGACTCCAAATAAAAATTACTTTTTAAAAAGAATTTTATTGTAAGAGCTACAACTGTTCAGACGGGGCTTACAGCAGAGAGTGATTAAAATTACAATAATAAACTTGTAGGAAGGGAAGGGGTTTTAGATTAGTTATCAGTAGACATAGTGTCAGCAGTGTCGGATTACTGTTTCCTTTCCTGTAACTGTAGACACTTTTATTTATATGGATCCACAGAAAATCGTTAAGTGGAGTTAAATCGGATGACCGAGGAGGCCAACAGTTCGAGCCATGAGGTCCTATCCATCCCCAAAAAAAGGTAAAAATTTGAAACTACTAAAAAATATTAAACACTTATTTTTTTGTTTTATTGATAGCGTCATCGGTTTAATAGAAATTCAGCCAGGCCATCCAAAAATGACACCCTGTATAATTAACCTTGCTTTATTCCACAATTATAACATAATAAACTAGTATTTCAATAATTTAATGATTCTTAATTCAGATCGAAATTTGTACGAAAAGTAAACAATGACAAAAAAAAACGATTAAAATAATGTGTAATATTTAGTGACCGTTAATTAATGATTATTTAGAGATCGTGAGATGCGGTCCTTTCACTTACTTATTCGCACACACGGACAACTATGTACATACAACATACAGTACATTACATACATTACACAAAAAAGAATGGGAAAGAGAGGGAAACAACTCTTTTAAAAATGGCACCATCCTTTGGTACACAGATGGATCTAGAACACAAGAAGGTACAGGGGCAGGAGTATTTGGACCTGGAACCAAATACTCAGAACCCATGGGAAAACACACCAGCATCTTCCAAGCTGAAATTCATGCAAGCGAAAGATGTACCCAACTCAACCTAACTAAATGGTACAAAAGCAAGAATTAGCTATCATATCAGATAGCCAAGCAGCCATCAAAGCACTAAGGTGAAATATCATTAGTTCAAGGATGGTGCTGAACTGCATTACCAAACTAAACATACTAGGTACGCAGAACAAAGTCAGCCTCTGTTAGGTCCCAGGACACATGGGAGTAGAAGGCAACGAGAAAGCGGACACCCCGGCAAGAAAAATGGCTGCTACACCGCTGATAGGACCCGAACCCTTCTGTGACATAGGAACCCACACTAATAATGAGTATCTCAGACAGAAGGACAAAAAGAAAATGAGAGAACTTTGGAATTCACCCATTGGACACAGACAATCCAACAATCTTCTAACCAACTTTGGTAGGAAAGAAATTACAGAATGTGCCAAGGGAAGCAGGAACAAACTTCCTATTCCTAGCAGGACACTGCAAAGTAAATGGACACTTAAAGAAAATTAGAATAATCCAAGATGGCACATGCAGATTCCGCAAGGAGGAAGAAGAGACGCCAACACATTTACTGACAAACTGCGGAGCCATACTAGCCCGCAGGAGGAAATGTTTTGGGATGTATAATGTGACCATAGAAAAGCTTCAACCATTGAAACCGGGCCTACTATTCAAGTTTCTTGTTGAAATAGGACTCACCGATGTGCTTTAGGCAGAGCACGGGGGATACAATAGCTCTCAAAGGGCGCAGTATACTACACCCTGGAACCATATCTACATCTACATCATACATTACATTATATGTACATATACATTATTATACATTATTTACAATATTTGTACTCTAAAGGTGGGTAAACAACCCAGTTTACCTTAAAAATCGCAATAGGGGATCCAAAACACACTCTCACGCCCAACAATTGTCTTTACATCGGGTGCCTACTGGCTCCTTATAAGGGGACACGGCCAGCCTCTCCCCGACCAAGTGTGACACACTGAGCAACCTCTCTCTACAAGGGGGACACCTGCACGTGGTTTCCCTTAAAACGAGGTGTGTATCAATCGTCTGCGGCCTATCCTCGAACAGGCGAGCACGGTTCTTTGCGTTTTAGACCAACGGTGTGCCGTCGCTCGGTTGTCGTTTTGATGCGCAAGAGCTTCTCGGACGAGCCCATTTACGCCAGCATCGTTTTTTTATTGCGTTCTGTACTGCTTGTATGGTGGTTCTTCCTGGAGGCTCATGTATTACTTAGCATGTTTCTCATCTCTATGTATTTTACATCAACAATTAACGATTCTCACAGATTTTGGGCTGAATCATATCATAAACTTTTGTTGCATTAGGACTGGCAGTATAAAAGTGAACCTCTTTCTCCAAGGACAAAACAACCTGTCATTTTCGAATTTTCGAAACTCTTGAACTGTTTTCATTCGTTTTCTCTAAGGGAATAATTCTGTCTCTTCGCTCCGAGAAACTCCACTTTAATTTTAATCTGTAGAAATCTGTGGTGTTTAGTGACCATTGATTAATGATTATTTGGAGATTGTGAGATGCGGTCTCGTGTGACGTAGGTTTAGAAAAACATTTTCTTTATTGTGCCAACGTTTCGATCTTTATTGAGATCATCTTCAGGGCCTAAGATTTATAAACATTGTTTAAATTAAACAAATACTTATAAGATGTAGATATCTATAAACTGATGTGCACAATATAGAAATTTTAGGTTTAATCAAAGTATTTGTATTCACTCAAAGTGTGCGTTTTTTGTGTAGTTGAGTGAGTGCAAAAACTTTGATTAAACGTAGCGACCCTGCCGCATATCAGGTTAGATTGACGGGTTTGGAGGTTAACTGCCTGGAGGTGTCGAGCCTAGGGCCGGTGAGTGACCACACTTCAGGGTCAAAGTCCAATAGTTTGACGTTAATTATCCCTAACAGGCTGTTTTAATGAATCAGGTAGTAAAAAAGTTTATTAACTTTTTCATTCCATTAGAGTCGTCGTATTACATACATTCAACTAAACATTTCAATCAAGTCACATGCTTTATGGCACAATAAATTAAATTGGCTTTTCTTATTTTTAAGGTTAAATGCTTCTAATTGATAGTAGTACAAATATACCATCAACTTAGGATTATTGTAGTTATGATAATTAGTGTTTAGATTTTAATTAAGGAAACGAAATGTCATAAAACAAGTTAGTACCTATTGTCTTTATATTAGGTAGATTCTTTTTTGTTGTGAAATCCCTCCCGACCCAGTTTTCTTTTTCCACCTCAAGTCTGTATAAAACAACGATTGACAGATTTCATTTGAGAGGATTTATCTTCGCCGAGGCCCAGATTCGTATTTGGTTCCTATCTAGGGAAACCTTGACACAGAAATAAGATTTCCCTCGAAACAAAAACAGTTTCGATGTCGTATCAGATTCTCTCAGCAGCCCGGCGGCTGTTCAAATAAATGCCCCGGTTTTGGATTACGAGAGTGTGACTGAAATAAGTGAAAACCGGATCCAGGAGTATCGTGTTAATCTCCTCGTGTGGATTATAATCAAATGGACTTTTTTTGCTTTATTTTAACCCTAAGCGAACAATAAGGTGTATTGAATTATAAAGAGAAATTTGTTTTATACACTTTTAATCAGAATCCTATTTCATCTTTGGTGATTGTTTTCATTATTTAAACACAAAAGGATATTAAAACAGATGTTTCCTTAACACTGAGTTAATGACCTACGTGTAAAAATGTGTAGAGATTAGTGACCGTTAATCGATAGTTATTCAGATATCGTGAGATGCGGTCGGGTGTGATTTAGGTTTCAGAAAAACATTTTCTTTATCGTGAGAGGGCACTCTCAACACGACACGCAAGGATGGCACAATTACACAGAAGACAAACACTTTGAGCCCTGAAGATGATCTCAATAAAAGATCGAAACGTTGGCACGATAAAGAAAATGTTTTTCTGAAACCTACATCACACCAGACCGCATCTCACGATTTTTAAATAAATATCGATTAACGGTCACTAATCACCACACATTTTTATTAATATATTTTATTCAAGTGAATCTCAGCTGGCCATCACCTTCAACAGACGGTTTAGTAATGTGTTTAAGAACTGTTTTTATTTTGATTTGGTTTATACTTCCTTATGTATACAAATGGTTTTTTTTTTTTAAAGAAAGTTCTTCATTCATTCATATACTGGCCATTGCGTATTCATTTACCTCATTATATCTGTTTTGAGGTTTACGAACTTAAGGTCTAATGTCTAATGTTCAATTGCACAAAAGTTTAGGTGAAGTTGCACGATTCTGCCCACATAACCACATTCTTCGGTTGCAAGGTGGCGCTCAGGTGTTTTTTTTTAGTTTTGTGCTGGGATGAAAAGAAGAAAAAACCGTTTTTGGCTTCATTTAATAGAATTAAAAAAAAAAAATTCAGTCAATCCTTCTCCATTTTACAGGCATTAACATAATCAAAGTCAGATTAAATATATAAATAAACGATTTTTTAGTTTAAATAGATTAGTAATATTTGTTAGGGTGAAGATGTTATATATTTTCTTGTTTTACTCTCCCTTATTTTTAGGCTTAATTCTTAAGCCAATCGACTCGTGAGGATCGTTTCCATTGAAAACGAAAAGACGTCTGGTCAAATATCCTTTTCAGAAGTCTGACTCGAACTCATTTAAAAAGCAATTGCATTCGACAACCTGTTCAAGGGGACGGAGAAAATCTTCGGGAAGCATTTTTTTTCTTTTTTTTACGATGATTTACAACAGCATAGAGGCTATATCAACCCTCAGGGTGCCGGTGTTTTTTAAAAAAAAGTCCATTTGTAAGTATGTCGGGTTCGAATGCAGGGCCACTGGATTCGAACCCGGGACCTTTACCTTACAGTGATGAGCGTTGTGTCAACGCCTAAACCGTTCTGGCCACCGACACCCCGGGAAGCATTAAAACACGAAATACTGTGATAGTTACTGATGTCATTAACTTCGCCCTATTTGCATAAAGGATAAATAATTTCCTATAAGAGGGTGGCACTTCATCAGTGTTAAATATAAAACTGTAAAGTTTAATAATTTTTCAAGAAAACAACGAGATGCGAATTTTTAGAAATCATAGCTAAAGCCATGAGTTCTTGGTACTTCATTATTTTTTTAGAACATAGATAACTTTTTAGATTTATATTGTACCAGATTCATCTAGAATATTTTCAAGTAATGTAATGTAAGGGGAAGTTCAAATAGGTTCAAATAGGGATTAAGGAAATTTTCAAAATGGGCAATCCAAGAAATTAAAGAATGTTACTTTTGGTCGGATATTTTTTTTAAATTGATTTACCAGCATCCAATTTCTTTGGCATCCTTGACCTTAAACTATAACGTTGTTTGTCAAATATTGTAGAGGGAAGGTGAGCATTAGGGTTATAAGCAGGGCGAGGCATGCCGCTGACCTGAAGAGTGTTGTCTAGTTACAGTATTGCTTTAATACATGATATAAACGTGTGGCATTTCCTATGTTTTTATCATAGTTATGTCATCATTAAGAACGATAAATTAGATTTTCAGCTACTTCCTTTGTTTTCTGCTTTCTTGCTACCAGTGTAAAACACGTAAATCATCATTATTTTACATACAATCTCTATTTAGATTGCATAAAAAATCATCAAAAATTTATTTGATTTCACATTGGATTCATTTGTGTTTCTATACATAACTGGTAAATTTGTTGATGTTGGGTGTTGGTTTGTGATTCGGCGAACCCATGCTATACTGGCATTGGGCCACTTATTGGGTTTATTGAACTACTCAAAAATGTTTGGTCATTGCGCCATCTTCAGTGAGTAATTTTCATATTTTATTTCATTTTATTGTTGTAACAATTCTGTAATTCAGATTCTCAACCTTTACAACTGGCCCTGGCGCTGGCGTTCGGAAAACCCGCCAAAATTTACGCATGGAATTGCTTCAAGGAAAATTCGGTGAGCTCGAGCTGTGAGCCACGAAAAAAAATCTGATTTATTTCATTGAGTGACCGATTTTAATCTGATTCTTAAAAGATCGGTTTTCATCTCTAATATAAACCCTTTCACGGACTACGTGACAGAGAATTCCTCGCAGAAGATGGCACAATGCCGAAACGCTAAGTAGTTTTGGATGTTTATCGACCTGCAGCAAATTAAGTGTGGGTGATAAGATCTTCTTTAGAGGTCAGATGACCTCTAAAGAAGATCTTATCGCCCACGCTTTTGAGTAGTTCAACAAACTTGGGAGCGAATGGACCCAATGCCAGTTCAACTTATAAATAGATCAAACTTTCTATCTGAGAAAACGATGCTTGACATCTATATTTGATGTATTTATTTATATGTTGATGCAATTGTATTTAGGTTAAACAATAGCTCTGATGAAGGACCAGGGACGAGGCCGAATTGAAACGCATGAAATATGACATCTAAGAAAATTGTTGTTTTAGTAGAAACGATGAAGTTGGGGTGAGTATGAATATTCACTTTTTATAAATGATGGTTCTACTCACAGATCTGTTGTTTACAACGATTCGGATTTCAAGCAATAAACGGTCATCATGTTTGAAGGAGTTAGCTACAAACACGCCATTCGACATGAATTCTAATGTCGGGAGAAGTGTTTGCAGCTCCGATCTCACAATGAGCGTTTAATGCTTGAAATCCGAAAACAACAAATCCGTGAGTAGAGACATCATTTACAAAAAGTAAGCGATTTAATTAATTAAGGTTTTTAGTTGAGATAAAAAAGTCAGTGTCACGAGCGGGATTCGAACCCACGACCTTCAGCCACGCCGCTACTCTACCACTGAACCAACCGGAACCCCAACCAACCCGAAAATAAACTCCCAACCCAAACCCAACCTTTTGAAATTTCCCCCCCTTTGCCAATTTTCAAGGGCCGAAGGTCCAAACCCCCCCCCCAAAACGGATTTTTTAATCTCAACTAAAAACCTTAATTAATTGAAAAATATTAATTGGTCAAGCGGACCACGAAAACTAGTGAATTTAATAAGCTAAAATGAAGTATACTTCATTAAAGCTCTCCATGGCCATTTCATTTGTCGCCGAGGATCAAATAGATTACACGACATTTGAAAAATGGCAAAAAGGAGGGAAATTCAAAAGGTGGGGTTGAGATGGGATGTTAGTGTCCGAGTGGATCAAGGTCACGATAGCTCAAGTGGTAGAGTAGCGGCGTGGCCGAACGTCGTGGGTTCGAATCCCGCTCGTGACACTGACTTTTTTATCTCAACTAAAAACCTTAAATAATTGAAAGATATTAATTGGTCAAGCGGACCACGAAACAAGTGAAGTTAGCGATTTAGTTGAACAAAACCAACAACCTTGAATGAAATTTTAAAAAATGAAATTACAACCAAATTAATAATTCTCGAAAAGAGTTAGAATTATTTATTTATGTATAATCTGTCTTAGTTTGTATTAAATAGTAATAAATACTTGCTTATTTAATATAAGTAAGTTATCTTAACTGATAAGCGGACTTTTGTAATAAATCTCTTAAAAAATAAATATTTTCCTTTTAATATACCTTTTATAGAACAGGTGTGTAAATCAATTAGGATAAAACGTTCTATTTTTTTTTTTTTTTTTTTTTTTTCAGAGGGCTGATCTAGCAATTTGCGATCTCACTATTACTTATGACAGGAGGAGCGTGGTCGATTTTACCATGCCATTTATGAGTTTTTTTTTTTTTTTTTTTTTTGCTTTAACTTGTCCACTATTTTATTAGGAATTAGCATATTGTTCAGCAAGCCTGCCAAGCAACCGCCGACCCTTTTTTCCTTCTCCGAACCCTTATCGTTTGACGTTTGGATATGCATGGCGACAGCGTATCTCGCAGTTTCTCTCCTTTTGTATTTTCTTGCCAGGTGAGTTTTTTTTTAAAGTTCAACTTTTCTTTAACGGCCGGGTAGCTTCCAATTGAGAAAACACACTGTCCTTCATTGCAATAACAATAAGTAAATAACATATACAATCTAAACGTCGTGATTAATCGTTCCTCCCTTGGTATCCCATCATATTTCAACGTTAAACTTGTTATTAGGTGCCGTTTACAACACTTTGTTTATTCTAGTTTAAGTTGTAAACATGTAAACAACTTTCCACCAGCTAACTTTAAATGTTATTAATTGGCTTTTGTAATCTAACATAAAGCGTTTACGTTGCTTGGGACCTTTGAGGCCTTCAGCATCCTGCCGTTTTGCTACCGACGACAGTCCGTGAGGAGAGGTAAGTTGGACTGAATAATCAAACAATTATAAACGCCTCAAAGACGGAGAAAACGAAAATCAGTTTACATCTTGAATCTGAACTGACGAAATTAAAATCTTTTGTCTATTATGTTTTAATACATAGTTTCACAAATTAACAACTAATAAGAACAAAAACTGATCAGCATGTTACAAAATAAGTATAACCTTGTGAAAATAGCTATGCTTTTGTTTGAATTGTAATATTTTTTTTAATAAACAACATCAGTCTCATGCAATCATAAAAAACATTAATCCTAACTGGTTTTGTAAATTGTACCTCCAGAAAAAAAATGTACATATAATTGTTTATTATTTTAGGTAAAGGATGCAGCTTCTAGACATTGCATTAACAGTAATTTGTAAAAAAAAAAGTGTGTGAATAAGTATAAATTATGAGTAACCAAAGACAGAATACAGATCTATATCCTGATATCAATAATATACGACAAAAACCGGATACTTGTATTTATCTGTTTATTTTCCATAGTAACTAACTATTAATATTAACAATTAATTAAGGTTTTGAGTTGAGAGAAAAAAGTCAGTGTCACGAGCGGGATTCGAACCCACGACCTTCCGCTAAATACGCCGCAACTCTACCACTTAATCTATCGTGACTTCGATCCTCTCGGACACTAATTTCCCATCTCAACCCCACCTTTCGAATTTTCTCTCCTTTCTGCCATTTTTCAAGCCGAAGGTCGTGGGTTCGAATCCCGCTCGTGACACTGACTTTTTTCTCTCAACTAAAAACCTTAATTAATTGTAAGATATTAATTGGTCAAGCAGACCACGAAAACTAGGGAATTAATAGTTAACTTTAAATCTAAACACAACTTTAATTACGTGCTGTTTTTTTTTTTTTTTTCTAAACCCAACATAGATAAATTTTTGTTTCTCCTGATAGATTAATCATCACTCATTAGTTTAAAAATAAAGGATATCAGTTCAATTTCATCCTTTCCAGAGCAGACTTGTCGAGTTAATTGGTTTTTTAATTGTTTTCTTTGAAACAATAAATTAAAGTTTAAAAAAAAATATCTTAAAAGCGGTTTTGACTCCAAACGATCTCACCCGGACAAACGCTTTGGCCATTGACTGACGTAGCGTCCATAACATGGCCCAAGCCCCGTGTGCCGCGCTCTACCATCCACGAGGTGTACTTCGTTTAGGAGTACCGAAAGTCTCAATCAAAAAGGAGAAAGTGGTCTACCGAGAGAGCGATCGTTTTATTGTTCATACTGCACTACAGAACCGTCATTTAATAGTTTCCTTGACAGGTAGTCAACTCCAAACGGTGTGTTCATCATCAACATCAGAAGGCTTCGTGAGTCATCATCATCAGAGTTGCATAGTCTCTAGACGTCCCGCATCACGTTCTCTACTACTCAGGAATCGAGTAGGCTGGCGACTATTCGCAAATATGCATTTCTCTTGGATGTAATTTTCCTTAAATCTCCCTTACCATCCCTGGACACTTGATCAATCACAGATGAGTGCCGGTTTGGTTTATGACAATCAGATGCACCTGTGGAAAAGACTTGAAGAACGCTTTGCTTCATGTGCCATGTATGAGTCTTAGCCTTTTCAACGAAAGCCAGTTATGGTGGTGGAATCAACGTTCATTTCCGTACCAAACTGATCATTATGCAGAATGGATCTTTGACTGCACTAAGGTGTATTGAGGCAGTTGTTATGGAAGTTGTGGTCCTATCGGTCCATTCATTTAGATCAGACTTGTTCCCTTAGCTAGAGAAACTTCGAGAAAGACGTTTACAATGTCAGTCCTAATGCAACAAAAGTGTATGATATGATTCAGCCCAAAATCTGTGAGAATCGTTAATTGTTGATGTAAAATACATAGAGATGAGAAACATTCTACGCAATACGTGAGCCTCCAGGAAGAACCACCGCGATCCCTGTGAAGCTGTACAAGCAGTAAAGAAAGCGATAAAAAAAACGATGCTGGGGTAAATGGGCTCGTCAGAGAAGCTCTTACATATCAAAATGACAACTCAGTGACGGCACACCGTTGGTCTAAACCGCAAGAACCGTGCTCGCCTGTTCGAGGATAGGCCGCAGATGACTCGCCTGTTCGAGGATAGGCCGCAGATGATTGATACACACCTCGTTTTAAGGCAAACCACGTGCAGGTGTCCCCCTTGTAGAGAGAGGATGCTCAGTGTGTCACACTTGGTCGGGGAGAGGCTGGCCGTGTCCCCTTATAAGAAGCCAGTAGGCACCCGATATAAAGACAATTGTTGGGCGTGAGAGTGTGCTTTGGGTCCCCTGTTGCGATTTTTAAGGTAAACTGGGTTGTTTACCCACCTTTAGAGTGTAAATATTGTAAATGTATATAATGTATTGTATGACAGGTATGTGTATATGTACATAGTTGTTCGTCCGTGTGAATGAGTAAGTGAAAGGGTCCATGGCGGAATATACTCATTCTACCATCACAGTGATATATGACTCAATTGTCGGTGGTTCCTTTAAAAAATAAAATATAATAAAAATAAGAAATAAATGTTATAGGCCTGTCGTCGAATCGGTTTGTACTTTGTTTTGAATGAGTTCAGTAGACGAATCATTTTTAAATAAATTAAACATAGTTTTTAAAGACGAACTAAATTTCGATGAAAAATGCATAAGTGAAATTCTGTTTTTTGAAAATTTATAATTAATTATAAATTAGCAAATTTATATTTACAATTAGGTATAAATTTGTAAATTTAAGCGGTAGAAATTGGTTAAGTGCTTAAATGGGGAATGTATTTACGACTAACTGAAGAGTTGTTATTTTTTATAACAAATTAATTTTCTTTTAAAAAATGCCGACTGCTCTGAATTCCAGGATAACCCCTCATGAATGGAGGAACCCTCACCCTTGCAAGCTTTGCCCCACTGAGCTCGAGAACAATTTAACCATGCAGAATGTAATTTGGCATAACTGCGGATCTCTCATGCAGCAAGGTTCGGACATAAGTACCAGGTACAAAAATATCTACTATAAAAAATAATCTAATAAGTAATCTAAAAAAAAAATATTTTTTTGTTATAAAAAGATATTTATATATTTTTATTTTGTTCAGGGCTCTTTCGACTCGACTCGTGGCAAGCATGTGGTGGTTTTTCGTGTTAATCATGATTTCGTCATATACTGCGAACTTAACGGCTTTCCTAACTTACGTGAGAATGGAAGGGACGATCAAATCCGTCTCGGACTTGGCGAGTAGCAGCAAGATAAAGTACGGAGTCATGGAAGGTGGTGCCAGCATGAATTTCTTCAAGGTTTTATTAAATTTTAACGAAATGTCCTTTGTTTTTGCGTATTAATTTTATTTTTTTATTTTTTTAGAATAGTAACGATTCGCTTTATAAACGCATGTGGAACCAGATGGAGTCGTCAAAGCCGACGGTTTTCGTCAAGAACAACGAAGAGGGCGTCGACAGGGTGCTGAGGAGCAAAAGGAAATACGCATTCTTCATGGAGTCTACGACGATCGAGTACCAAATGGAAAAGCACTGCGAGCTGACGCAGGTCGGCGGGCTCCTGGATTCGAAAGACTACGGAATCGCCATGCCGTTTAGTAAGAAAACCCGTTAGTAATTTCTCGACAAATCCATCATTTATGCTGTTTACAGATTCGCCGTACAGGATTGCGATAAGCGGCGCCGTCCTGAAGTTGCAAGAATCGGGAAAACTGGCCAAGATCAAAGAAAAGTGGTGGAAAGTCGGAAAATGCAGGGTACGTCAGATCAATACTATCGAATTTTTTTTATTTTAATCCCGTCATTTTCAAAGGACGACATCGGCCACAAATCTGACGAATTGGGGATGGACAACGTCGGAGGAATCTTCCTCGTCTTGTTAGTCGGTTGTGCCTGCGCGTTCGTACAAGTAATAATTGAATTTTTGTGGAACATCAGGAAAGTTGCTGTTAGAGAAAAGGTAAATACACTATTTTTCAGTTGAAATATAAAAATAATTATACATTAAAAACATATTAAAGGCACAAAAATCAAACAAAATACCATATAATATACAGAATGCGTACAGAATTACCATATAATACACAAGATTTTGGAAGTATGAGCTCTGAAGATATTCCTCGAAAATGAGCTAATAGGTAATTTTTCAAAAATGTAAGCGATTTATTAAAAAAAAAGTTAGTGCTACTTTTATGCAAAGAAATTTGAGTCAGTAGCTTGTTAGTTAATTAATCTTGCTAAGTTTTTGTTTGCCTGTTCGAAGACAGGTGGTGGTTCTTAAACAAAACATTATTACTCGCAAAACATTTTTTAAACCCTTTTTCTTTGTATTTTTTTTTTTTTTTTTTATAAGTTGTTTAAATTTAACGGGTCAGTCTTAAAAATTCCAAGTTTTAATTAAAATAACTTTAAAAAAAAATCCTCCAAAACCATATTTATATATGCCGTGGAAATAGTCAACTCAGGAAAAAGCGCAAAAATCGAGACGGTCATATCTTTTAAATTACAACATGGATTTAAATAAATAATAAATCTAATACAACATAAGATGCTGATGACGGGGGTAAGTTCTCGAAACGTCCATACAAAAGTGTGGTGATTAGTGACCGTTAGTCGATAATTATTCAGAAATCGTGAGATGCGGTCTGGTGGCCCTGAAGATGATCTCAATAAAGATTGAAACGTTGGCACGATAAAGAAAATGTTTTTCTTAAACCTACATCACACCAGACCGCATCTCACGATTTCTATATAATTGTCCATACAAATAAATTTACTTTTTTTAATAAAATCATATGGAAATGTTTCCTAACATTAAATAACAAATAAAAATTTATGTAGCTCAGTTGACTATTTACTTAATGTCATTGGTTACGTCAACAAATTCTTTATTCATTTTATTGATTTGAGGGAGACAATATACTTTCCACCTTCTATTGCACAAATTTCGCCTTTCTTTCTTCCAATAGTGCCTTTGAGGACTGAAATTTTTTTTTCTTCAGAACATTGCAGTTTTTAGCATAGCAAAGAAAATAGGGTTAATTTTGAGAAAATCGATCCAGGAAGCAATCTTTTGAGTTTTGAAGCCATCCAATAAAAAAATGTGATTCAAAATACCAAAAATATAATTTTTTATAATTTTATGATTAGTAGTATAATTTTCGAAACAAAGCTGTAGTTTGGTGGTCCGACTTCAGTTTATAAGTAGCGTGAGGTAAGACTTATTTTTTGCCTTTGAGCGAAGGAGGTGTTTTACTTTGAAAACTACTTCTGGCTGATATAAAGTTTAATAGCCATTCCATAAGGAAAACGGTTGTCACCAACTTCATAGTTCAAACAAAATTAAATGGAGGCAAATTTGATTGCACTTGTGAAAAGTGCAAAGTGAAATATTAATAAACATCGAGATGGTTTTTTGTCGTGGGCCGATCATTAAAATCCAAGTCGTTATACCACGGATTTTTCTAAAAAGGCAGCTTATAATGCCTTTTTTATGATTACATAGCTATCATAAATTCTTGAATAATTTCCAGTTGCGGAAAATTTAAAATAAAAAAAACACATTACATCATAAAAGATTTTGAATAGTATTTTTGCTCAAATTGATACGTTTTTTGAATTGGGCTTTTATTCCTAATACTATGGTGGTATACAGTGTTATTTGAAGAGGCAGATATACCGCAAATGGCACCTTGAGAACGTTCAAGAATTTTCGTACCATAAACCACTTATCGATGTTTTTAAAAACTGGCATGTTCAGTGTTAGAACTTCTGAAGAAAAACTTAATATTAAATAATAAACATTTGTACAAACATTAGCCAACATTAACAACTACTTTCATTTGTACAAAGTTAGCCTTTTTCTTTTCCAATAGTGCATTTGGTAGGTGCTCTTAGTAATTTTTTTTTGTTAAGTTTGTATAAAACAAACTAAATTGGGTTTAGATTGAATAAAGAATTTGTCGATATAACCAATAACATAAAGTGCATAATCAACTAAATCAAATAAATTTTTATTTTGAACCAAGGGTTAAAAAATGTTTTTATGAACAAGGATTTTTTTTCCAAAAACCAACCACCTGCCATCTAAAACATATATAAGCCTGCTTAATTAACTAATTGGTTGCACGGTCGCGGTTTATTCACTCGAATTTCTTTGGTTTGAAAGTAAATTTTATCAAAAGATCAAAAATTTTATAAAAGATAATCGGTGGGGGGGCCGCAACGGTTTAGGCGTTGACACGGCGCTCATCACTGTAAGGTGAAGGTCCCGGTTCGAATCCAGCGGCCTTGCATTCGAACCCGACATACTTACAAACGGGCTTTTTTTCAAAAACAACGGCATCCTGAGGGTTTATGACCTCTGCTGTTGCGAACCCTCGTAAAAAATAAATTAATTAAAAAAAATAAAGAATAATTGAATAAAGGATTTGTCGGATTAAACAAAAACTCAATTTGAAACAATTAACTTTACACTTTGATTATCGGTAACGACCAAATTACACTATCAAAATTGTTAACATTCTGGGATTATTGTTATTTTTTTCTTATTTTGGCCAAACTTATTAATGATTTTTTGATATGAAATGTCACTAAAAATGCTTTTTTCATTTTTTGCAGCTTTCTTTGCACGAGGCGTTTTATTTCGAAATAAAATTCGCCCTGAACTGCGGAGCCGTTTCAAAACCAGTACGTTTCACGGAAGAGGAGGACCGTTTTTCAGTCGGGGACGAGCGAAATATGTCTCGTTCCGTTTCTACTCGTACGGCTGTCAATGAATAAACATTCTCTTTTCTATTTGTCCGAGTCAATTTCTATTCTCACGCCCCGTTTAATTCCAAAGGCTGGATGAAAATTTGATGAAGCGAAACGTCGAGGGGGGCCGTCGTATAATTCCCGTCTACCGAATTCCTCGACCTCGCTTGCCCGCCTTGCCCCCTCACCTGAATCCTTAATAACTCAATTCTTAATCTCTTCCAATCACCTTCACCAACTTTTAAAGCCCATCCCTTCCTTCCCTTGAAAAGAAAATAAATTGGATCGATTCAGAAAACCCGACGCCAATTATAATTTCTCCGCTTTTTCCTCAAGTCCATCACACCTGGCGAACTCTAGAAATGAGCGACACTCCAATTAAAAATAGAAAAAGCAAAAATCACTCTCTATAATCCCATATTTTTAACTTTCTCGAGAAATTATTGAGTATCCGATCAATTATGACGGCTTATTCTTGCTGCTTCAGGTTTGCAGATGCATATGTTTTTTTTTTTAACATCGTAATTGCATTTGTTAGAGTGAGAATTGATTTTTTCAAATAGGTTTCAAATAGGCTATCTTAACAAGCCAAATAGTCTTGAATACACCGAGAGGCAAAAAAATTGGCCAGCTTTAATATATTTAATTATCATTAAGACAATCCTCCATTTATTATCTTCCAACAATCCGTCCGTTTTAAAGGATTAGAGGTAAATAAAACACATAAAATCGCCTACTTGGGTTTTCAACTGGATTTTGTAAATAAATCTCTTCTTTGTTGTTGTTGTTGTTTTTTTCGGTAAAACTACTTTCTAACGTTCTCGTGGCTTGATTTTTTAAGCACCTTTTTTAAGTTTCAAATTGTCACGCGCCAGCCTTGTTTCAGTTATGGTTTTAAGCGATAGAGATTCGGCTAGAATCATAGCCATTGTTGGAAGATGGAGGAAGTGAAGCTTATGTGACCAGGGTGCTTAACATTTCCAGAACAACTGTCCGAGGGTCTTTCATCGCTACCAAGATACTGGAGGTTACTCAAGAACTAGTATCTTCCAAGCCGAGGTTCACGCAATCGAGAGATGTCCTCAATTCAACTTGACTAAAGGGTAGAAAAACATAGTTATCATGTCGGATAGCCAAGCAGCCATCAGAGCACTAAGCTCAAATATCATTAGTTCAAAGATGGTCTGAACTTCAAAACCAAATTAAACTTATTAGGTACGCAGAACAAAGTCAGCCTCTGCTGAGTCCCAGGACACTTGGGAGTAGAAGATAACGAGAAAGCGGACACGCAAGAAAAGGGGCTGCTACAACGCTGATTGGATCCGAAACCTTCTGTGGCATAGGAACCCGCACTAACAATGAGTACCTCAGACAGAAGGACAAAAAGAAAATGAAGGAACAATGGAATTCACTCATTGGACACAGACAATCCAAGAATCTCCAACAAATTTCGGAAGGAAAGAAGATACAGAATGTGTCAAAGGAATAAACTGCGAATCCGAACAGGTTTCTTAACAGTTCACTGCAAGCTAAATGGACACTTAAAGAAGATTGGAATAATGCAAATCGGCACGTGCAGATTCTGCAAAGAGGCAGAGGAGACACCAACACACCTACTAACAAACTGTGGTACTACACTTGCCCGCAGGAGACAATAGAAGAGAATCAACCACTGAAATTGGGCCTACTAATCAAGTTCCTTGATGAAATAGGATGTGTGCTTTAGGCAGAGAACAGGGGATACAATAGCTCTTAAAAGGCGCAGTATATTCACCCCGACTGATACATCTACAACTAAGACCTGGAGCAGGTCACCATCGTGAACCTCTCAGAGAGACGATCGTTTTATGATTTCGAATGTTCTCCGCAATCGACATTCTACCGCTGCTGAATTCTCCGAACCGTGAAAGTAACATCTTCACATTTTTGTGTGTTTTATCATATTCCTCCGCTTGAACCACTCTCAAGGGATGTGGCATGGCTTTGCAGGTTTTTGGTTGAAATGACAAGGTCTTTATGAGAGCAAAGGTTGGCGGTATCCTCATAGGTGGCAAGGATCGTTTCAAAAAGAGAAGGAATATCTGCGGTATAAACCGTGTAGAGGATGGGTCCTAAAATACTTCCTTGTCGTACCCCTGCACGTTTGCGATACCCGGGTGATAGGGTGGCCACTGATGACTTAACAATATCTGAAGGATAGATCTGATTTTAGGATCAGGTATTAGGTAAAAGGTAGGACATGGTTACGCTTCCAGAGGAGCTCCGAGAGCCATCAAAGACCACCCATCAAAGGCTTGTTTCACATCTAGGAATACACATTTTGCTCAAGAGCGGTAGCTGTTATGTCTAAAACGAGATGGCTCCGCTAAACGGTGGAAAGAGATCCCAAACTGGAGGTTAGGTATAAAAGTTATAAGAACGAAGGATTGGGAGAATCTGCGGGTGTTTTTTAGGAATTTGCCCAGTATAGGCAACAGATTATTTGGACGGTAGCATGAGGGAAGGTTATGTGGTTTATAACCTTTGAACTAATTCGGATGAGGGAAAATTAAGAGGTACTAAAATTTTGTTTTCTGATGAGTCATTGTTTTATATGAGACCTTTCGACGGCCCAGAGAGGGTTTGAAGAACAGGAGAGCGATATATCCCCAACATTTTTATTCTTATTTTATTTATTATATTAGTTTGGGCAGAAATTTCTATGGAAAGTCGTACAAACTTCATCTTCATCAAAGATTCACTAACAGCTGCGCGATACATTGAAGATGTGTTATCAGAAGACTGCGTTCCTTATAAACCACTAATTGACGACAGTTTTGATTCTATGCATGACACACAGCTAGAATCGGTGGTGACTACTTGGAATAGGCATCTATTCAATGTTTGGAGTGAATATTTTAAGAAGTTTGAATCATCTGTTTAGCTCTTGTTTTTTGACTAAAACTCTATCCCCCTTTTGGGACGAGTTGTCAAAGAGGGTAAAAGTCGCCCAGTTATGCCAGAGAATTTAGGAATTAAATATGTCGCTGTTGGATGAATATGAAGATATTCCACAATAATACATTCAAAACCTCATAAAATCGATGTTACGTTGAATGCTACCGGTGAAAAACGCAAGAGGAGGAAATACTCCTGGCCTGGATGAGGCCATGAAGGTAAAACAACAAAATTGTATGGTATGATAACAGAAAGAGAACTGCCACATGTGCTATAACTCATTGATTTTTCCTAAGACGTCGAAAGCCGTATATATCATGGTGAATATTTCTCCGTCGACTTGAAAATGATATACAAATTCTTTCAAGCCTGTTTTCAGCAGAGATTTGGCCTCGTAACTGCGGAAACGTCCACAGCTAGTTATTTTAAACAACGTTAGTCACAACAAAACCTTCAATGCCTACCTTTCAAACCTAACCACCTCCGATAGATCTTCGAATTATCGACAAGAAATATCCTGCAACATCACATTCCATCACCTCATCATCGAAACGATAGGTCTTGGGACATGCCCGTTAAAGCCAACACTTTTGCCCAATACTTTCGTGAGACATCCAATCCTCCACCTCCATCCCGATCCCAATACTGCTAATATCGAAGCTGAGATCATTGACAACCTCTCATCACCTACCCATGCTCTTTCACCCAAAGCAGTCACTCCTTCAGAGGTTAAATGTATCCTGATTCGGAATCCGAATCATAACGCCTCACTTGACCACAAGTCCCGAATATCCCAAAAATTCCCCCAAAAAAGGTCTCAACCTACTCTCACATTTCCACAACAGTATATTCCGCAACAGTCCTTTGCTCTGAAAATACTGCAATACCACCCTTCCTGCTCACCTCGTGAGTATAAACTGTATATTTCTTGGCATGTGGCAGAGGTTTCCATTTACAAACTAAAACATATCCTTCCAAATATCTTAAACCTAATTCTTCGCTCCCACCAAACTGAACGATTCTTCTTAGTTCGTCGAGGATCGAAATACTCCGAATATTGCCCTTTGAGAGCGGGACTTTCACAGAGCAATGTGCTCGGACCAGTCCTGTACGTCATACGTATCTCGACCGATCCACTTCACCCTCCACCCTTTGTACTTCCTTTGCCGACTACACAGCTGTCATGGTCTGATTCTGATCCCGTAATTACTTCGGAGGAACTTCAGTCACCAAGTTGCAATTAGCGAGGCTATGTACGCTACCTTAGGCTTAAAAGAAAAACATGTTAAACAATTTTACCATTTGTAAATATATCGTTGCTGTTGTCGCATCAAAAAATTAAAATTTAGATAGTTGATGGGAAATAAAACCAAGTGTTAAGTGTAGTTAACTTTTTATTCTTGCGGGTGTTTCGGGTTCAACGGCTTATTTTCAACAGCTCTGAAAAATACAGACACAAACAGAACAACGAATTTATGTATAAATATGTGCAAACTACAATTATCGAACATCAAAAATACTTTTTTTTAAATGATATAACATGTTTCTAACTGCGATATTTTGCTAAATAAATAGGCCCTGATGATGACGATATAATCGTCGAAAGCTCGGCAAAGACTTAAAGAGTTTGTCGTTTCTGTTGTGAACTCACTGAAGATCCTTTCGTTCAAGTTGATCAAAAATACCTTCAAATAAAATGCCTGCACAGAAGAAAAAGCAAATCATCCATGAAAAAACAAGGACAACAAAAACGAAGAAAATCAAAAGTCAAAAAGCTATCCAATATCCAACCAATTGGTTTTTGTCAATTTATTTAAAATCTCCTATCGTTAAACCTGACCAAATGGGTTCCACATTGAACCCGAAATATTTTTAAAAAGCGAAACAACCAGTTCGACAGAAATACAGTGAAATATATGTAACAAATAAAAATTTGCCTCTAATTCATATTTCGGTTTGAAATTTCTACGATATCACCAAATCGTAACATCTTGGTATGTTATTGTTGTGTCAGTATTTTTTAAATATTAAAAAAAAATAATAATTTCTACCTATTCTCCAAGGAAAAATATGTAAATAACATAGAATGTAAAAAAGGTATAGGCACAGTTGGCGGCATAATTGAAAAAATATAAATCGAAAAATAATCATTAACGAAATAACATTACAGTTTTCTATGATTTGTGTTGGCCTCTAATTATGCCGAAATTTAAAAGTTATTAGATCATAAAGAATTAATAGCAATCAAGCAAAGACTTAGACCTTAACTACAAGTCGTATTTTATTATATTTTTATAAGGCAGTAAACTTTCCTAATCATTTGATTACTCAGCTAAAGTGCGCTTTTCTAAGATGGGGAAAATATTATTTCCCATAGTAATTAATTAATTCGGCGAAAATTCCCGGTAAATAAAGATATCCCCACCTACTTAGGAGAATCGGTAGCTCAAATTTGGCCTACGTCCATAACTCGTCCCAATTCAGGAATCTATTTCAGTTCTGTGTGGCCCGACAGTTGTTATAGTCGGGGTCTAGATCAGAACGGTTTACCGCATGTATTTATAATGTTTATTTTATTTGCAATTCTTTGCACTCAACTGGTACTCAATGGAGGCCACGAGATGCCCTTCGGTAAGCGAGTGCTCGATGGCTAATTTCCACTGGGCAGTTATAAAATTCTCATCGAGCTTTTTTTATCTGTTCAAGTCGCCTTCTTTCTTCCCAACCAACTCGAACAGGAAATAAGTTTCAAGCTGTCCGCGGAAATACTAAACAAAGATACAGACTTGGCTGGGATGGAGATAATACCGAAGATTGAGCACATGGTAGGCTTCGACAGCTTCAACATGTCTAAATCAGGTAATATGATCGAAGTAAAATTAAATTAGCAAGCCTGTTGCCTTTATGAATAATTTCTGGTTTTATATGGTAGCGTGGGTGCGATTGTGTGATCAGGGTGATGTTTGCAATAATAAGCCAATTTACACCCACTATTTTTATTAATATTCAAAAATGATTTTCAGTAAAAAAAATGATTGAATATTGCTTACATTTACACTTTTCATTTTATACGATTCCCTGTGAATTACACACTGCAACCATAAAAGTAATGTCGATCTCTATCTATCCAAGAACCAACAAGAATTGATGAGAAGTCGTAAATGTAATACATTGTAATTATTTCGTATATTATATCCGTAGATTGCAGTTTAATTAAGTGATAAAAGATAAAGTAATATTTCGAGCTCGGCAAAATCGAAGGAGTTTTATATGGATACATTTCGGTGTTTACGACTCCTGCCGACTGGGGCTGAAAAGAGGGAAAGAGATAGAGAGAAGTTGTCTGTCTTTGTCTAAGAGGGTTTGGGGGTGGACCTGTGTGATTATGTATGTGTGAGTTTCATTCAAAAACCTACATACATCAAAATGAATAACAATCTCATAGAATAAAGCGACATATAATTTATTTAATCTTAGCTAATATTATGAAATACACGCTTAAGTTGAAATTGTAGACAATAGTAAATAATAAAACGTGCATATATAAGAATATTCCGAGTTTTCTATTATAAAAAATTAAATTTTCCTGTCAGACATTTAGCCAATTAATTCACATTTTCACTCAGCATTCTTGCCAGCAGCTGATAAGTACTGTCTCTGACTCGCCTATTATTTCCTCTGTTGTCTCTGTTGGTCTGGAGCGAACGTTTGCTTGGATGTAATTTACATTTGTGAGATTTCTCCAATGCATCTGACATACCAAATTAGCGAGAATAGGCAGACCAAAAGTCAAATAACGATCAAATAAATTTGCATTTTTTGTATTTGCTGGATCAAAATCTGCCTTCGGTATCCAGAGCTTAATCGAGCTGATAAACTTTAACAAACAGATGATATATATTATTCTTGAAGATATTCATTTATTCGGTTTATTTACAATCCAGTGGGTCTGTTTTTAAAGAAAAAAAATAAATCAATTGAATTCTAAGTTTCCGAACTGAAACTTTCATTCAACTCATATATATTCACGTACAGCGTGTAGAAAACGTACAAGAAAATACTTTTTACTAATGATTATTCTGAAATCGTGAGATGTGGTCTGGTGTGATGTAGGTTTCAGAAAACCATTTTCTTTATCGTGCCAACGTTTCGATCTTTATTGAGATCATCTTCAGGGCCTGTGATTTACAAACATTGTTTAACTTTAACAAAAACATGTATGATGAAAAAAGTAATCACCACACACTTTTTAGTAAACTAAATTTTAATAAATTTACGACTAAACGACCAAAACATAGAAATAAAAAAGAAACGACCATCGCTTTAACAGAGCTGAACGAAATTGCGTGCGACGTGACGCGATGTCGCGCCTCTTTTTGAAGCATAGGGAAATAAACTAAATTTTAATAAATTTAGACTAAACCCCCAAAACATACACAGGGATATGAATGGACCAGCGCTCATCGAAACGCAACGCAGCAGTGGCGGTGTGGTCGTCGAACAGACCTCTCTTTGCATCATGGGATAATATTCTTTTCCAAGATAGACCTTCTATTCCATATGTTTCACTCCAATCATTAACATGAATTTCAATTAAGGTTTTTAGTTGAGATAAAAAATTTAGTGTCATGAGCGGGATTCGAACCCACGTTCTTCGGCTAGATACGCTACTCTACCACTTGAGCTCGTGACATCGATCCACTCGGACACTTCCCATCTCAACCCCACCTTTTTTTTATTTTCCCTCCTTTTTGCCATTTTTCAACTAAAAACAATAAAAACTTCTTTTTATCTTAACTAAAAACCTTAATTAATTAAAAGATATTAATTGGTCAAGCGGACCACGAAAACTAGTGAAATTAACACGAATGTAGCAGAAATGGAGGCGAGAGGAAATCAGTGATGTAAGAGAAGGACGTCGATTTTAGGCGCTCATCGCTCTAAGAAAAAAAACACCTCGAGGGTTCATATAACCTCGTTGTTGAAATACCTTCGTTAAAAAAAAAAATCCAATTATAAATTATAACTTACATATTTATTTATATAATAAATAAAAAGATGACTACTAGTCGAGGTCAGTGCGGTACTGTGTTGCGTCACAACGCTACGCGTGTATCACGATGCCGTCATGACGTTCGCGTCGTGTCATCCTGCGTCAATATGTGTTTTGTTATGTGTGTCTCAGATAAAGATACAGCATCCCTGAATTCGAACCCAACATCTTAAAATAAATAAAATACTCTTTAAAATAAAAAAATGTGCTTTAGAATAATTATCGATTAACGGTCACTAATCACCACACATTTCTACACGAGAAGAACGAACAACATGGGATTCCATGAACAAATTCCAACTATATATGGACACGAAACTAAAAGTGCTTTAGAATATTTTTGTTGTTATAAACAACATTTTAAAAGATTTTAACACAATTTCCTCAACTGATATAATATTTTCAAATTGTTGTTTTCTCTGTTGTTCTAGATCTGTTCTTTGCATGTCACTCTATGTTTGTTTGTTGATTAGTTGAATATGTTTACAAATTTCTTTATGTCTACGACTATTTAGTTACTTGGACAGATTGGTTATAGCTTTGTATTTTTAGGTTTATGTATCCGAATTTGTTTGTTGTGTGATTGTTATTCCAGTTTGAGTATGTGTGTGTGTGTGTGTGTGTGTGTGTGTGTGTTTGTCTTATTTCCGTTGTACTGTTGATTACAGGATTTAATGGATCGACCCAAGGACTTTTCCCATCGGAAAGGTCAAGCCGGTCTTATTGACAAATAGCGTCTACAGATCGAAGGGAGGCGCTAAGCCCCTGACAAAATAAATGTCCACCTAGGTAAAACTAAGATTGAAGTCTTTTTTCAAAGGAAAATTCATTAAGGCAATTAGGGCGGATTTAACGGGCCGACAAATCTCCCGGTTTAATTAAACTGCTAAGAAAATATGCGGTGTTCGCCAGTCTGCAGAACCGATCCGTTAATTATGATTTACACGTGTTAATTAATTGGGCCGGTGAGGTGAAAGCCGCGTGATTAAACTTATAATTTCAAAGTATTCAAATAAAGACACCTTCAAACGAACCCGACAATCATAAAATGCTTAATTAAGTTAAACTTAAAATATCTTCCATGTAGAACAATACACTCATTGTATAATCCTTTTCATTTCTCTTTATTTAAGAATGAAACCAACTAATAAATTTGGTTCATGATAATCATTGTTTTTCTTTGTTTACTCAATGGAAACAACATTCGGTTGAATTAATACAGCCGTTTTTTTAGCTCGAAACCCGAAGACTATCACATTTTTAAACATACAAATTAATGTATATACATATATAGAACCTAAAATTTACTCTTTTCCCATAATTGTTCAATTTTCTTTCGGAATTACATTTCTTGGGGAGAAGGGGGTATCATTTATTTATTTGAAAAGGTAATCGAATCGGCGATACTCCACGGTGGCCGAGCTCATAAATTTGGATTAAGGTTATTGGATACCAGCTAAGGGAGGATATCGAACACTCTCAACTACTCCTCTGGCTCTAACAAATTACGTTTGTGACATTTTTACGAACCATTTACACTTAGCTGTAACGTGTGAGTGTTTGTACGATAATAATGTACAAATATAATAAAGCTTGTAATAAAACTATTTTCTAATGGTTCAAAAATGTACAAACGATCTTCCGCGCTGACCACAAGATTTAGTTTCATGCGTATAAATTACGAAGAAAATGTTTAATATATTATTTTTATTCATGAAAATGTCAAAATCTAGTCTGCTAATATTTTACATACATTTTTAAATTATTTCAAGAGGAACAAAAAATTTATTGTTCAATAATGCGATTTACTGCATTTTACAGCTAACAGGCACCCAAAAGATTGTTTCTCTAACTTTTCTCATTCTAAGCCTAGTTCTATTAATTTTAGATAGTTACTTTTAATAATTAGATATTTTTCTTCCTCTCCCCCAAAAAAATATGTTTGAAAAATATCCTTATCAAATGAGTTTTGCTTCGTATTTTTTTCATTTCGTATATATGTATATTTGTTCTACGCTCACTTAATTCCTAAGTGATAACTGAATAACACTCGTGGTTACACGTTTATGTGTATCTTTGATTTTCGTTTAATATGTGCGCCTTTGTACATTTTGATTGTATATTTGTGTTGTTCGGTTTTCTTTTCGGGTGTGTGCTATGTTTGTTAATTTGGTACATTTGCTGTTTGGATTTGTTTAATATCTCCGATTCTCAGTCTATTATGGTTTACTTCACAAATATCAATGTATGTTCAAATTTACTAGTCGGTTTATACGCAGTGTGTTATTTGTTTGAGTTAATGAAAGGTTGTGTGTTCGAACTAATGATGATGATGATGAAAAAAATGCTAGAAAGCGGGGATTTCATATTTGAATTTGATATTCCCTGCAACCTTTTGGCTTATTATATTTTTCCTAGTGTTTGATCATTGAATTTTTTTTTTTTTTTTTTTTTTTTGGCCTTATGATCTTGCATATTAGCCATAGTACGAATACTTGTGTGTTCAAATTGGGGGTTATCGGGAAAAAAGGGCCAGAGGCGACGGTGGGAATCGAACCCACGACCGCGGCGTGAGAGTCTCTCATGCTAACCACTCGGCTACCGCGGTCCCCCTATCATTGAATCTCATTGTTGCAATTGTTTTTTTTTTTCGGGTATTCTTGGTAGATTATGTCTCTGTTGAGCAGTATCTCATTCAAGATTATATATGTTGCGATTTCATCTTCCTCATTGCATAATCTACAAATGAGTCATCATTAAATAGTGTTAATGGTGTTATCTCAGATGCCGGTGACCTGTATATAGCCCTATCCTTCCCCTCAGTCTTACGTTGTCTGACTGTAGCAATGTGTTTGCCAGTTTTGGTAAAGGTTCTTTAATCATTAGTTTACCATGCCTGATATAGGGCTTTGTTTGATCTTGTTATCCAAATTAAAGATTCAGGACCGACATATGGTTCTAAAGATCATCCTCTGGCCAGTTATCTTTTTGTTCATTTCCCAGGACTGCTTTGTACGCTGATACCTAGCAATTATCAGGTTGTTATGTATTAGGGCTGCTTAGAAAAAAAATGCGTAGAAATCCTTCAACCTGATGATGCGCTAAGGGCTCGAAATCCGGTCATTGGAAAACAACTTACTGCGAGTAGGAACTATTTTTTTGTAAAAAAGGATTGAATACCGCACTCACTCCATCGTTCATCATTTCTATTAGGGCTGCTTTGATGTCTGATTTTATAAGGAATTTTTGGTCAGTGTTGACGTCTTTTTGATTTTCTATGGCACAAGCATTGATTGCTTGTATTTCAGGTGGAAAGCATTGAACTATGTGTACTTCCGTAATGAGTTTGATTATATAATTTGTGCATGCAAAGAAAATATCATATCCCGTTCTGTCGTTAGTTTGGGACAGTGTGGGGCAAAAATTAGTCGTGTCCAATGATTAATGATTGATCAATCGGACCGTTATTCACGACTAGTAATTAAATACGAGGCATGACTAATTTAGTCACAATATAATTAGTCATGACTAAATTTCGGTAAATCATGTTCAAATGGGTGTTCAAAAAATGAAAAATACACTTTTAAAAAATTTTCTAACAGAAATTTATTTCATCAAAACGAAAATCCTTCAACACCTTATTTAACAAAAATCAATATTCCAATTATAAGTAAAACTACGTCGTTATGAAAAGCCAAAAAATAATAATAATAATAAAATAAAATTTAAAAAATCCTAGAACAAGCTACGCTTTGAAAAGTGAATATGTTTACATAACCGATCAATGGAAAAAATATTTCTTTGAATTCAGATTTATTCCTAAGGAAGAAAGGAGAGATTTCTACATTATTTGGAAAATACACCAGCTAGGGGTCTTGATTGTAATAAAATAGACATGTAGAATAATTATATAACTTTGGTTTTCGTTTGTGATAACACTTTTTGAAGGTTGGCCTTGAGCACGACTCTCATCTCAAAAATTTTATACAGAGTCGGTTGGATTTTGGTAAATTGGTCATTGTAGCCAGAGTTGGGCAAAATCTAATTAATTCAATCATGATTAAGAATTTTGATTGATGTTTAATCATGATTGAATTAGTCATGAGTAAATTAATCATTGTATGATTTAGTCATACATCATGATTGAATTAATCATGACTAAATCATATAATGATTAATTTACTCATGACTCATTCAATCATGATTAAGAAGTTTGATTGATGTTTAATCATGACTAATTCAATCATGATTAAACTTCAATCAAAATTCTCAATCATGATTGAATTAGTTAGATTTTGCCCAACTCTGGTTTTGGAGCCATCTGCATGCCATATAAATGTATTTGATTTTCTCCTGATTGCTTCTTCTCCTATGTAGTATGTAAAACTTTGAAGGATGTTGCAAAGGATGTTTCCGGTATCACTTAGCGAGTCTTTTTCCAGGAATCTAGATGGCTGTTAATGTAATGTAACAATATTTTTATTGTTGTTGAATAATTTAAATAATCCAGCTCTTCGGAAATAAAAGGGTTGATTGTCATGAAAGTATTTTATTTATTTCAATTAATTAAGGTTTTTAGTTGAGATAAAAAAGTCAGTGTCACGAACGGTATTCGAACCCACGATCTTCGGCTAGATACGCCGCTGCTCTACCACTTGAGCTGTCGTGCTCGATCCACTCGGACACTAACTTCCCATCTCAATCCCATCTTTTGAATTTTCCCTCCTTTTTTGCCATTTTTCAAATGTCGTGTAATTTACCATTACTAAAAACTTTAATTAATTGAAATGTATTAATTGATCAAGAGGATCACGAAAACTAGTGGATTTTATTTATTATTGGATCTTGAAGAGAAAAATGGTCAAAGCCAGAACATTTTTCCAGGTTTTTATATATGTTTCAATTTTTATGAATATGTTGTTTTTACATGTATAGTTTGCCGACTGATGGGAGAAGGTATTGCGGGTCTCATTGGGCCGCAGTCTCTTGAAACAGCGAGCATCCTTCACGCTATAAGCAATAAATTCCACTTGCCTTTAATCCAAACGCACTGGGACATAATCTCCGGGCCAGAGACGTTCTCGGAAGCGACGGTTAATATTTATCCAGACCCGGATCTAATCGCCAAGGTAATCAACAAAATAAATACCAGGCATCCCGCTGTATAAATAATTGCCCTCCGCCCTAGGGGTTAATAGCGATAGTGGAAGACATGGACTGGGGGAGCTACACGATTATTTACGAGAAGGAAGAAGCCCTGATAAGGTTGCAAGGAATACTAAAAGCTCACAACAAAGGTCTCACCGCAGAGGGGCACGTCCCATTCACTGCATGGCAACTAGAAGGTGATGATTACAGGTGAGCAATGATTCAGAACAGTCCTCGAGGCGTGCTGCTCCTTGTAAACAAATCGCGATAATTTTTTAAGCTTTACTCCCAACAGTCCCCTGATCATAAAACTCATATATAAAAGAAAGAGATAATGTCCTGTGGAAACTAAAGAAATCTGTTGATTTATGAAAAGCTATATAACAGAGTGGAACGGTTAGTCCTTTAAAAAAATCCTTCTTAAGCTCTTTTTTAAATCTTATAAAAGTGAAATTATATTTCAGTGAAAATTGAAATTGATAGCATCATATTTTCTTTTTTTTTACAAAATTATCATTCTATCATTCATTCAGGTCAATTCTCTATAAAAAGAAAAATATTTTTTTAAATTATGTGATTAATAGTATTGCTATATCTAATGCTAAATCTAAAACATTCATTAAACTTTCTATTATTTGACAAAATAATATTTATATTCACTTAAAGCTAACAAGTTGACTTCATTTATAAAATTAAATTAAAAAATTCGAAAAACTTTTTTAAGGAAAACTGATCACTTCAACTGCATTTTTTTCTTTAAAATAAATTACGTCATCATAAATAATCATGCTAGGAGATAACACGTATTGGGTTGTCCGGAAAATAATGCAGGATTTTGGTATTAAACAAAAAAAAAGAAACTAGTTACTTTAAAGCAATGTTCTTTAATCAAAATAATTTCCCATACTCTCAATACATTTCTCCCAACGTGTTGGTAACTTATTAATTCCGTCTGAGTAGAATTCAGAATTTTTAGAATTGATAAAGTCAATAAATGCATTTTCCAGTTCCGTTTGATTTTTGAATATTATGTGTTGTAAGTAGTGGTCCAGGTGTCTAAAAAAATGGTAGTCAGTAGGCGAGAGGTCCGGAGAGTAGGGTGGGTGAGGCAAAGTTTCATAGCCAAGCTCCAATAATTTTTGTGACGTTACACGTGACACATGTGGTCGAGCGTTGTCATGCAACAAAATGGGCCCTTTCCGATTGACCAAAGAGGGCTTCATTACTGCCAATTTCTGATGCATGGTATTAATTTGGTTACAGTATGATTCAGCATTGATGGTTTCGCCAGGATTTAAGAAGCTGTAGTGTATTAAACCAAATGAAGCCCACCATACCGTAACCATTACCTTTTTTTGATGAGTTGGGGGCTTTGGAAAATGTATTGGAGCTTCTCCTTTGTCGAGCCACTGTCCAGAACGTCTAGTGTTATCGTAGAGAATCCACTTTTCGTCACATGTAACAATTCTGGCCAGAAATGGGTCATTTTTGTTTCGACAAAGAAGTGATGCACAAACATCAAAGCGCTGATTTTTTTGGCGATCGTTTAATGAGTGTGGAACCCAATTTTCGAGTTTTTTCACTTTTCCAATCGCCTTGAGGTGGTCAGCGACGGTCGTTTTACTGACTTTGAGTTGCTCTGCAAGTTCTCGAACAGTTGTTTTGGGGTTTTCTTCCACCACTGATCGCAGAACATCATCATTAAGAGAGGAAGGCCTTCCACGACCTTCTTCATCTTCAAGGCTGAAATCTCCCTCCCGAAATTTTTTAAACCACCTTTGCACAGTGCACTCATTAACACAACCCTCGCCCCAGACTTGGTTAATGTTTCTAGCCGTTTGGGCTCCGCTTCGGCCGAGTTTAAACTCGTAAAAGAAAATCGTACGAAATTCTCGCTTTGACATTATAAGGATGACTGAATTATTTCCAAGTAGCGGAATGCTACAGAGGTAAACAAACAATATCATTTGGAAGAGGATTAATAAGTGTTGACATTCATACAAATGAGTAATCCTGTAAACGTAAACAGAATATTTTATATAGATTTTTTTTAATGAAAACTTAAAATCCTGCATTATTTTCCGGACAACCCAATAAATAAAAAATGCCTGTTTTACTAATATTTATTTTTTGAGTGATAGTTATCAAATTGAGATTTTTCTCGATGATAAATTATTTTGCTGAACAGACAAGAATCAACTTCTGTAATGACTTTCAATTAATTAATCTGTATTTAAGGTACTGGTTGAGATAAAAAGTCAGTGTCACAAGCAGGGTTCGAACTGAGGTTGAGGTGGGAAGTTAGTGCCCGAGTGGATCGAAGTCACGATCGCTCAAGTGGTAGAGTCAAGCCGAAGGTCGTGGGTTCGAATCCCGCTTGTGACACTGACTTTTTTATCACAACCAATACCTTAAATACAGATTAATTAATTGAAAGATATTATTTAGTCAAGCGGACCACGAAAACTAGTGTTTGTAACGGCTTTTTTTCGCTACCTTTAGTAATTAGGACATTTTAACATCCTTTATTATTTATTTCATTATCCATTTATTTCTTCATAAAATTTTTAAGTTTGCGAGAATTCCTAATGAGATATGCCGGGTGAACGTATAGTTTGGTCATTTTTGATTTTCATCTACCGATTCTCACGGTTTTGGTCTGTGAGAGGTTCTTTGGCTTCTAAAATCTTCCTCTTCATTGGTGGGCTAGTGCTTAAATTGATTTTTTTTTTCCACGGTTGCCCACCACTTGGATTTTATTAGTTACACATTATGTTTATTTATTAATTTTTTAATGTGAGCTTAGAAGAAGGAGAAAAAAAAGGTGGAAAACATTTTTTATTAATATAACATAACATAAATATTTATTAAATTCACTAGTTTTCGTGGTCACAAGTCAGTGTCACAAGCGGGATTCGAACTGAGGTTGAGGTGGGAAGTTAGTGTCCGAGTGGATCGAGGTCACAATAGCTCAAGTGGTAAAGCAGCGGCGTATCTAGCCGAAGATCGTGGGTTCAAATCCCGCTCGTGACACTGACTTTTTTATCTCAACTAAAAATTCAATTAATTAATGTTTATTTTGTTTTAAAAAAATTGTATTGTCCAATAAAGAGTTGGGTACATAATTTGAATATTCCATACCTAGTTACAACTTACAATTTATCTTTAATTCTTTTTTCTGTTGAAACAAATTATTTATTTAAAAAAATAAATAAAATTTAATGGATATGTTAAATTGTCAAATTTTATTTCCAATTATTTGTTTTACAGACCAATATTGAAGGAAATTGAGCAGTCTACAGAAACCCATATAATCTTGGACTGTTCAACAGACAAAATTATTGACATTTTGGAACAAGCGAAGCAAGTCAATATGATGGGAGATTATCATAGTTACGTTCTAACTGCTCTGGTGAGAAATTTCGTCCTGACAATGTTCTCATATTACAGCAATTTTAATGTTACAGGATGCCCATACAATCGACTTCGGCGACTTTAAAGCGGGAAAGACTAACATAACAACCTTAAGATTGGTTGACCCCGGAAGAGCGAAGGTACAAAATGCCGTCCAAGATTTGAAGTATTACGACAAAATGGGCTTCTTCTCCAAGCTTTCACCCGATAACGTGCCAGTAAGTTGAAGGTGTAAATTATATCTAGAGATAGAAGTATTTGTACCTGTATTTTAATTTTAGACAGAAGTAGCGCTTTTATACGATTCGTTGAGTTTGTTAGCTTATGCTTTGAAACAGCTACGTGATGAAATAAAGAACGGGATGACAGGTGACAACAATGAAGATGTTGAAAACCTTCGACGAAACAATGATAAAGATGAAGATGAAGATGAAGAAGGAGAGCTAGGGATTGTTGAGGATGGTGGCGATGATGAAACATTAATTGATTTCACTGATGCTATTGATTGTAAGTCAGATAATTTCAAGAAATATGGGAAAAGGCTTGGTGAAATAATTAAAAATGTAAGCTAATTAACAGAAATTGGGTTTAAAAATTACAGAATTAATTGCTAGCATATGTTACAGACAGAAATGGAGGGGATGACAGGAAAAATAAAATTTGATGAAAAAGGGAGGAGGATATTTGCAACTGTCGATATTACTGAACTGACCAAAAGCAGGCAAATAGGTTCATGGAACCCGGAAGATGGTATATCTTATACAAGAACAAAAAGCCAGATGGAAAGCGATATGTTCCAGAGCTTGAGCAACAAAACTTTCATCGTTGTATCAAGACTTGTAAGTTAAATTCCACCTTTGGTAAAATTCACAACTAACTTGTCAATTTTTAGGGTGAACCTTATTTAAGAATTGCTAATGATAGTCTCGAAGGGAACGACCGGTTCGAAGGGTACTCAAAGGACCTGATCGCAGAAATTGCAAATGAATTGAACTTTAAATTTCAATTTGTGCTCACTCCCGACCGCGAATACGGATCATTCAACAAAGAAACAAAACAGTGGAATGGCCTTATTAGGGAGCTTAGAGAAAGGGTGAGTTATATTTTTGCTATTTTCACATTAGCCAAAGTTATGAGAAATAAAATTGATAAAAATTCCAAGAGCAAAGTTAGAATTCAAATCCAGAACCATTGTATGACAAACACAAGACCTTAAACCATTTTTAGACAAAAAATAATAATATCTACTTTATTTTTATTTTTGGTAGCGAGCAGATTTGGCAATTTGTGACTTAACGATCACATACGAAAGAAGAAGTGCAGTTGATTTCACTATGCCATTCATGACCCTAGGTATACAACATGCAATATTTTCCAAAATAAAATTAGAATTAATTTTATTTTTTATAGGAATCAGTATTTTGTTCAGTAAACCGACAAAACAGCCACCCAATCTCTTTTCTTTTCTTTCTCCACTGTCACTTGACGTCTGGATTTATATGGCCACATCATTCCTTGGTGTTTCACTCCTTTTGTATTTTCTGGCAAGGTATAAAAAAAATCCTTTGCTTGCAATATCACCATTAAAATAATTCAAAGAATGTGAAAAATAAGTCAAAGAGGCTGATTTATTAAAAATGAGTCCGTAAAAGAACATTTTAAAATATTTATTATCAACTTTATAGGAAATTTACGTTTGAAGATTATTGCAAATTGTTCAAGGCCCTCCTTATTCTGTAATAATTAAATGAAATCTATGAACAAACGTTGAACCAGCACTGGATTACTTATTGGGTTCATCTACACTTGCGGGTGTTTGATGTTACTCAAACGCTTTGCATCATCTTCAGTGATGTTCATGACAGTTCTTTACATTTGAGTAACATCAACAACCTGGAAGTACAGACAGACCCAGTAAGTGACTCAGTGCGAGTTCAGCATGTATTCACTGACCCGCAGACCGACACAAGCCTGAAGAAAAGAGAAAAGAAAAAACCTTATTCTAATTACAATTAAGGTTTCTAGTTGAGATAAAAAAATCAATGGCACGAGCGGGATTCGAACCCATGATCTTCGGCTAGATACGCCGCTGCTCTACCACTTGAGCTATCGTGACCTCGATCCACTCGGACACTAACTTCCCATCTCAACCCCACCTTTTGAATTTTCCCTCCTTTTTGCCATTTTTCAAATGTCGTGTAATCTATTTGATTTTCGGCGACAAATGAAATGGCCACGGAGAGCTTTAATGAAGTATACTTCATTTAATTCATTAAATTCACTAATTTCTTGGTCCGCTTGACCAATTAGTATATTACAATTAATTAATGTTTTTAGTTGAGATAAAAAAGTCATGGAGTGGATTGAGGTGACGATAGCTCAAGTGGTAGAGCAACAGCGTATCTAGCCGAAGATCATGGGTTCGAATCCCACTCGTGCCATTGACTTTTTTATCTCAACTAAAAACCTTAATTAATTGTAATATATTAATTGGTCAAGTGGACCATGAAATTAGTGAACTTATTCTAATTATCGAACAATCAAATTTCAAATATAAATTAAAAATTAATTAACTATTATACATATTATGGAATATACAGGTAATAATAAATATAAATAATAATTTATAATAAATATAAAGGTATACAAATATATACCTTTACAGATTGATCTCTGATTTTTAAAAAAATCATTGCAAAGAGGAGAATTAAAAATAATAAAGTATTTTTATTTTATTAAAATTTGACTATTAAGTCTTTGCTTGATTGTCAAATTTGTTTATATGGTAATTAAATTAGCAAAATTTTATTCAAGGGAGCATAGAGGCCACACGAACGGTCCTGGGTTCGAATCCCAGTACAACCCATGATTTTTTAATTGAAAATTCTTTGGAAGAAATTTGTAAAGTGGTTTGACCCATTGACGTTGAACGTTAAGCCTTCTTGTATAACAAGAATTAATTTACTTTATTTGGCAACAGACAGATTGTCTTTTTTTTTTTTTTTTTTTTTTTTTTTTTTTCCAACTACATGATATTTTCAATAATTATATTAGGAAGTGTTTATACTTTTCTTTTTCTATTTAAAGACAATCCGACAGGAATTAACAAGACTCTTTTGATATAAATTCTATAAGAAACAGTCTTAGGTAAGAAATGATTTGTTTTTTGTATTTTTAACTTCATTGTAATTGTACTTTAAAAATTATGTCCCTAGGACTTTATTTGTCAGAGGTCACAGTGTGGTTAAAATGTAATTTAATGTAGTACATACTAAACTTAGTGCTTTCTTGTACATAAAACTATTGTTTTGTTTAAAGCTTCTTATATACGATAAATGTGTGTTCTTAAAACATCTTGGCACAGTGAATAAAATTTTACAAATAAATTATGTAACCCATAAACTATTATATGTGTCTTTGTAGATTCTAAACAAGTACAGAAAAATATTCTAACTCGATTTGTCATATTGTAACTGCTAAATCTACTTGTATAAAGTGACTGTTTAAAATTTATTAAAGTAATCACACGCCGCTAACTCGAGTAGAATTCATAACAGCGTTTTAGTAGTAGTAGTAGTAGTAGATTAACATTTTTTGTTACAGATGTGCACCAGATCAGTGGGAAAACCCTCATCCTTGTAATAATGATCCCACAGAGCTAGAGTGTGCTTTCTCGCTGCACAACTGTCTTTGGTTTTCTATAGGCTCGCTTATGGCTCAAGGGTGCGATATCCTACCAAAGTAAGGATGGAGTTCAACAGTTCAGCGGGCCGACTCTTTTAGGAGCTTTTGTGTGTACGAGACTAATTTTTACATTTAAAAGTACAATAACACCGCTTATCCCACTTTTTAACCGACTTGTGAACCTCATACTGTGACAGCACTCTGTCTCGCATGAATTTTCTCTCTTTACCAGTACACACCCAAGTGTGAACTAACATGTTGCAGGATCTCTCCTCTTGAGTGGAAAAACCCACACCCCTGCCAATCCGAGCCCGATGAGTATGAAAACGATTTATCAATGCAAAATGTCATTTGGCACAATTGCGGATCACTTATGCAACAAGGATCTGATATTGCCCCACAGTAAGACTCTCTACAATAGTATCCAAACAATTATCCATTACATATATACAATAATATAATATATGTATAATATTATATATATAAATATAAATATTTAATATACATGATTTTGATTTGTTACATAAATATTTTTTTAAATTAAAAACTGCATCCACTAACAATCCGTTTTGCATAAAATGCACTTTTGTTTGAGGATTGAGAAGAATGCTAAGTTTTGTATTCAATTTTAAATAACAACAACACAAATATTTTACATCAATTGAGTTAGGAAAATTAATAAGAGCAAATAATAAATAACTTTTATTTCTACAGAGCTATATCGACTAGAACTGTAGCCGGAATGTGGTGGTTTTTTGTTCTCATTATGATTTCATCGTACACTGCAAATCTTGCAGCTTTCTTGACAATGGAAAGGATGGACGAACAAATCAAAAGCGTAGAAGACTTAGCTAAACAGAGTAAAATCAAATACGGCGTGCTCAATGGTGGTTCGAGTATGAATTTCTTCAAGGTGACAAAATGTCATTTTGTTTTAAATAAACAAAACGTAAAATGAGATCGGGTTTACAGAATAGCAATGACACACTTTATCAAAAGATGTGGAGCGTGATGGACTCGACCCGTCCTTCTGTCTTCACTAAAAGTAATGATGAGGGAGTCGAGAGAGTTCTCAAGGGTAAAAGAGCTTATGCTTTTTTTATGGAATCGACTTCAATTGAATATCAAATGGAGAAACACTGTGAGCTGACGCAAGTGGGCCGACTTCTGGACAGCAAAGGCTATGGGATAGCTATGCCTTTCAGTAAGAGTTCATTTTCAATTAAAAAAAAAAAAAAATCATGGACTTTTTTATCTGTGTACAGATTCACCATACAGAACAGCAATAAGTGGAGCCGTTTTGAAAATGCAGGAATCCGGAAAGTTGCTTCAGTTGAAAACAAAATGGTGGCAACATGGAAAAGCAGAATGTGAAGTAAGTATCAAGCTATATAAAAAACAAAATTTAATTATAAATATTTAGTGATACTAATTTTAAAACAATAATCCTTGCTTTTGTATTTCTTTAATAGACTGAAGAAGGTGGTGGCGATTCAGCAGAACTGGGTATTGACAATGTCGGTGGCGTCTTTCTGGTTTTAATTGTAGGATGTGCAGTAGCATTTTTTGTCGCCATTCTTGAGTTCTTGTGGAACATAAGAAAAGTAGCAGTACAAGAAAAGGTAAGGTACTTTACACTACCGCCAAAAATTATTTATACAAAAATGATGCTTGTTTCAGATATCCCTCAAACATGCTTTCATGGCAGAATTTAAATTCGCAATAAACTGCAGTGAGAGTACCAAACCAGTTCGGCACACAGCTGAAGATGACGACAGCAAAGATGACGATGATGAGGAAAAATCTCTAAAACCAAGAAAGGTCTCGTATATAACAGACGACTATAACGAGGAAGAGGATAAAGACTAACGATTGTGAAAATAATTAATTAAATTAAGTTTTTGTTTTGTAAATGATTTGTTGTTAAATTTGATTTTTTATTGTTTAGGCTGAAATTGAGTATAAATCTAAATTTTTTTTAATGAAATAAGGTTAGAAGGAAATATGAATTTTGTTTGTATTAAGATAACATTAGTACATATTTGATTTATAGAATTAAAAATCAAAGCCAACTTTCTCTGTAACCATTTTCCCTTTTAGAAACTAAATTTGATCGGTTTTCTACATGAAAGTTTAAAAAAATAACAATACCATTATAAAATATTTAGAGAATGTAACAATAAATTAAATAAAGTACATTTGTTCAATAAAGACATTATAAATATAAATACATTGTTTTACTTTTAGTGAAAAATTTTAAACTAAAAGGCAGAAAGTAAACGAATTTCTTTTGCACATGAGGGCTTGTCCAATTACAATTTGGTTCATGAAATAGGGGTCACTCAACTACAATACTTTTTTCTAATAATTGTTCTATAAAATTCCAAGGGCAATGCTAAGATTTGAACCCAGAACTGATAGCATGACTACAATTGGACACACTAACAACTAGGCCACTACAATCCATACAAATAGGTAATATTTTAGATGCTTTTTTTTTTCAACTGTAAAAAGTGATGCATTTTCAGCAGAGGAAAATCACAAATCATAATTTTTGTCAAACTAATTATCTAGAGAAGGCTTACAATCTCTGCAGGCAACTTAAAATAATTTTGATTACGGTGGCAATAGTACTAGCCGGGCACCTGCTCTTGGGCCAAAGCTCGCGCAGGGGCCCCTTGTGCAGAGAAAGGTTGCTCGATGCCCTACAGGGAGCGTGCAGGCATGCCATCCAATCTGAAAATGGTACTCGAGCACTGCAGCGGGTTCTGGGTCCCCCATTGTTTTTTTTGTATTGTTTGTAATATGTCTTATGTGTTGTGTGTCTATATGTTTTGCATGAGTGCATGTATTTATTAGCGTGAATGACGAGAGGTGAGGGTGAAATATAACGTCATCATCGCCCCTCGAACGTTGAGCGCGTATGAGTATGTATTCGGGGTCGATAGCGGAATATTTATAAAAGTACTCCATCGACCCCAATCTAGATAGTTTGAGTATAGGTCGGTGGAGGAATATCAAGTACCAAGTACTCCACCGACCAAACGGAATGAGTGACCTGTATGGATGTATTTATGTATATGAATGTGTTTATTTGTATGAATGTAGTGTTTGAAAGGGTAAATAGAATATAGACTAGTTGGGGGCTGAAATGACCTAGATGTCAGAAGCCCCAGGCAAAAAAAAATTAGTACTAGTGATATGGTTACACAGGGATATATAATTATATATATCATATATATATTATATATATATATTATATATATATATATTATATATATATATATATAGGAGTATAAACATTGTGTTAAATAAATAATGTGATGACAATGCTAGGATGCAGGTGTTGCTCCTAGAATTGTCATCAGCACTCTCTCCCACTCTAGAAATTTTATAAGGATTTTCATTTTAACAAACGTTAGTCTTAAGCCAGATTTCCCGAAAGCATATCGATGAGATTTGATTTAGATTCATAAGGTTCTGAATGTATATCAGTAACTTATTTGTAATTTCTTTGAATAAAAGTTTTTTAAAAACACATTCGACCAAAGAAATTATTTAACTTTATATATATTAATTAGACAATAAAAAAAATTGTATTGGCTAGTTTTTTGGCCCTCTTTTTTGTTTTTTTCGAAGGACTTCCGTAATAGGCAGTTTGTTTCTACTTTTTTGTTACATGCCTGCGTGAGTGAATGGAATTACACATTATTAATAATTTTAATTAATTATAGTTTTAATCTGAGGCCTTGGACAGCATGAAAAGCTAGTGTCTACTTCAGCCCAACTCGAGCTGTTGCTCAGATAACTCCTCATCTCAACCTACAAACTTTCAAATGCTCTTTCTTTTTGCCATATTGTCGATTATTGAGATGAAAAGTATTAGACCTTAAACAAAAAAGGTTGGCATTACTGAACACAGGATACATAGATGCTGCAAAAAGCAGAACATACCTCTTACCAAAGCTAGCTAGCCTTAACTCATGAAAGAGAACATGTTTTAAATCCTACAACATAACCATGTTGGAAATACAACCACTGCAAGTACAAAATTTCATAAGTAACTCATACCAGTCACTATTAGAAAGAAGATTCTATAGCGATTGATGAGCTAATGGGGTAACCATAAATATCCTAGTTTTCTAGATTCCCTACCATTTTTTATACTATGATATGGGCTCTTTATAGCTAATTCGATAAAATCACTTTTGATCGCCCACATAATTCAATTTGAAAACAAAAATGTCCCTATTACATAGTCCAAAAGATTATCACTTTCGATCAAGAGGTTTAAAAACCTTTTTTCTTCTTTATTTGAAAAAAGGTCCAACGGCCTTTTTCTTTTAACGAGCTTATAAAGGTCAGTGTGACTGCTCCAACTTGACAGACATGCCATATATCCTTAACGACTCTCTGCTGGTGGCCGTTGTTCGCCTGGCATTCTGTTCTTCTGTGACAACTACTAGACCAGCCGTAACTAGAAGGAATTCGACCAACCTTTCAACTAGACGGCTCTTTCATAATTTATGTCATTGTGTCCAAAAACGAAGAGAACTACTTCGAAATCTCCTTTGTAGAGAAGGAATTACTTTTAAAAAAATCCCTGGAAATAAAGAGCGTTGAATTGCAATCGACAGTAATGATAAAGTAATACTATATAGGAATAAACAACATATAGACTTAGAAATAGTTTTCAGTTATTGTCGGACATCCTTTGATATTAAAAAAAATATATTATGCTGTTCCAGTATAAAAAAATTATAAACCGCAAATTTAGGTACAATATTTTATCATTTATAAAGATTATTCGTTTCTGTGTGTTGATTAGTGACCGTTAGCCGATGATTATTCGGAGATCGTGAGATGCGGTCTGGAGTGACGTAGGTTTTAGAAAAACATTTTCTTTGTCGTGCCAACGTTTCGATCTTTATTGAGATCATCTTCAGGGCTCAAAGTGTTTGTTTTCTGTGTAGATATGTTACTATTGGGTGTCGTGTTGAGAGTGCCCATGACGCACCAGAATGGAACAATTACGCAGAAAACAGACACTTTGAGCCCTGAAGATGATCTCAATAAAGATCGAAACGTAGCACGATGAAGAAAATGTTTTTCTGAAACCTACGTCACCAGACCGCATCTCAAGATCTCCGAATAATTATTCATTTCTTCGATTCCGTAATATCGTTGGTCCGGCTTGTTTAGCTGTTATACCAGAATATTGGGTTTCAGAGGTACATACACATTAGATCTTCCAAAATTCCAATATTCAATATAAAATACGTCACCAATTTTTTATTAATTTTTTTAAGGCAAAACAAAAAAAATCCGAAAAGATTCCATTCGTTAGATTGTTTTATAAAATTATTTAATTGCTAGACTAAATAACTTAACAGAAGACCGATCCTAGTAAAAGTAAAATGAACAATTAATCATTCCTAAAGTCAGTCGTTAAAAACAGAAGAAAAAACCTGACGAGATTGGAAAAGGGCTTTTTTTTCTTTTTTTTGGCCTTATGGCAAAAGAGCTCATAAACTAATTTCATACAAGGGAAGGGTCAACTCCACCTAACAACGAATCTTTTCTAAACTATTTAAATAAAGTTAAATGAAAATGTAATGCAAATGAAAAAAAAACTATTCTTTATTTTGACCAGCCTTTGGTTTTATGTTCAAAACTATTCCATGTAATCACAGTGTAATTGAAATTTTACTGATCTCCATCTTCTAAATTATATAATAAATGTGTGGTGTTTAGTGACCGTTAGTCAATGATTACGTTTCGACCTTTATTGGGATCATCTTCAGGGCTCAAAGTGTTTGTTTTACGTGTAGATGTCATTCTTGTGTGACTCTAACACGACAGACAAGAATGACACATCTAAACGGAAAACAAACACTGAGCCCTGAAGTTGATCTCAATAAAGATCGAAACGTTGGCACGATACAGAAAATGTTTTTCTAAAACTTCGTCACACCAGACCGCATCACACGATCTCCGAATAATCAGTATATAATAAATAAATTTATAAAATAAATATTTATAAAAGCTTAACAAATCAAATTAAATATTGACATTTTATAACAAATCGAAAATGGCCAGTGCAATCTACCTATCCCTCTAGCTATATTTGTCATGATCAATAGCTGATTTTATATATCACACGTGTTTCAGCAGGTCGCCAAATCCGTTGGTTTGTCTGTGTATTATTTTGTCTGCCTGTCCATTTTAATAAATAATAAATGTTAAACGGTGAAAGGGCTTGTCGGCATTGTCTTTGTTCTGTCGGCGTCTTTGATAGATGGAGACTGGAGTTTTTCGTCGTTTGTTCCGGTCGGTTATTGTGTCCGTCGGCTCGTTTTCTTTTGATGTTGTGTAGTATTTTTGTTTCGGATTGTTATTAATTTGTGCGTTCCTCTTGGTGTTTGTACCGTGTATATATTATCTATAAGTTCCCTTCCGCTTTTTTCCTCGCAGAATTCTAGTATTTAAAATGTGAAGGTCCTAAAAGAAATGATGAAGGCGGGGTATTAACACATTTGTGAAATGCGGTTCTCCTCACAGATTAGGTGTTTTCTGGATTTCAAGCCTTAAACCCTCATCATCAGATTCGAGGAGCCACAAACAAATCTCTCGACAAGAATTGTAGAAGAGAAGCTGGGTTTTTGATACAGCTCTATTGTAAACGTGAGAAAAACGTGAATTTCAACTAAATTTCATCCTAAGAAATACTGTAAGAAAATAATTTTACATTGTTCATTCATCTGTATATAAAATATTTTTTTAGGTACATTTTCTCCATGTTTAATTTTACATTTTTTTATTTAAAATTACTTAAACCAATCTAGTTACCTCCTTTCGTTAAAACTGTGTATCACTGTTGTATTTAAAGTTTATTTGCTGATCGTGAGATGCGGTCTGGTGTGACGTAGGTTTTCGAAAAACTTTTTTATCTTGCCAACGTTTCGATCTTTATTTAGATCAACTTCAGGGCTCAAAGTGTTTGTTTTCTGCGTAGTTGTGTCATTCTTGTGTGTCCTGTTGCGAGTGCCGTTATAGGAGTTGTATTTAAATCTAAATTGTGTTTTCTTTCATTTAGATGGCCCTTAAATTCTGAAAATGTTCTTTAATTCTCGTTTTAATTTTACCGCCGCTTCGTCCTATACAGGGTGAATTGCTACTCGTGCTACAAACTTCTCCAGTAGATTCTTCACCCTAAAATGAACAAAAAAGTTCATATTGTCCATGGTCCGATTCTCAACCATTTCAGAGTAATTTCGCTTTTTATCGATTTTGAAAGATATCACGTCCTGGCGTCGGAAAATCGTGATATCTTTTAATCTAAACATTTCTCTGAAAATCTAATAGCACCGTTGAAATTCCCGTTAATTTTTCAATAAGAAGATGACGGTGGCAAAATGTTTGGGCTAATTTTTTGTGTTTTATTTCAGCCAGAACTACAAAAAGAGTGGAAAATTGTGTAAATCGGAAAGTGTATAAAGTAATCCAGAGTTTCTAATTTTAGTCTCAGAAGGCAGCAAATTTGAGGAAAACTACCTGATTTAATAACGCTTCCAACGCACTCGTCATTTTCTTATTTAGTGGTTGTGAGACCAAGATGTTGATGACAAAAAGAGAAAAAATGGTGGTTCAAGGATTGCTAATGTTTGAGAGTGACTTGCTACTCGTGCTACAAACTTCACCAGTAGATTCTTGACCCTAAAATGAACAAAAAAGTTCATATTGACCATGGTCCGATTCTCAACCATTTCAGAGTAATTTCGCTTTTTATCGATTTTGAAAGATATCACGTCCTGGCGTCGGAAAATCGTGATATCTTTTAATCTAAACATTTCTCTTAAAATCTATAAGCACCGTTGAAATCCCCGTTAATTTTTCAATAAGAAGATGAAGGTGGCAAAACGTTTGGGTCTTTCTTCCTTGACCTTCTAGCTGTTTGTAAACTTCTTAAGCATTACATACTAAATGGGCATTAAATTAAATTAAAAAATTTCAATGGAATTATGATTTTGATTCTCTCTAAAAATTAACGGGGATTTCAACGGTGCTTATAGATTTTAAGAGAAATGTTTAGATTAAAAGATATCACGATTTTCCGACGCCAGGACGTGATATCTTTCAAAATCGATAAAAAGCGAAATTACTCTGAAATGGTTGAGAATCGGACCATGGACAGTATGTACTTTTTTGTTCATTTTAGGGTGAAGAATCTACTGGAGAAGTTTGTAGCACGAGTAGCAATTCACCCTGTATATTTAATATCATAATCATTACAATTAATGTTAAGTACATATTTTAAAGACACAAGACTGCTTGTTAACTTCAACTTTTGTCAATTTTAATCTAATTTAACCGTTACTATTTTTTTTTTCATTTTAAATAGAGCTGTGAGCCTCCTTACATGTACATATATTAGAAATAAATATTCAGAAATCGTGAGATGCGGTCTGGTGTGATGTAGGTTTCAGAAAAATATTTTCTTTGTCGTGCCAACGTTTCGATCTTTATTGAGTTCATCTTCAGGGCCTGGGATTTACAAACATTATTTAAATTTAACAAATACATGTAGGATGTGGAAAAAGTGAAAGTTTATACAATGCAAAATATATTTTTTTAATACTCCATCAAAGTATTTCTACTCACTTAAAGTGTTTGTCTTCTGTGTAATTGTGCCATTCTTGCGTGTCAATTTGAGAGTGCCAGTGAGATATTTCTGTATTAGAAATAAATTTATTTTTGTAAACATATTAAATAGTAATAACTACAAGAATAATAATAAAACATAATAAAATGTACAAAACAATAATGACAGTGATATTACTGTTATTTTACTATGTTTGTAAAATTAAATTGATTTATAATATATGATTTGTATTCACTAATTTTGTGGTCCGACTGACTAATTAATAAATTACAATTAATTAAAGTTTTTAGTTGAGATAAAAAAGTCAATGGCACGAGCGGGATTCGAACCCACGATCTTCGGCTAGATACGCCGTTGCTCTACTACTTGAGCTCTCGTGACCTCGATCCACTCGGCCCTTTTTATCTCAACTAAAAATCTTAATTAATTGTAATATATTAATTGGTCAAGCGGACCACGAAATTAGTGAATTTAGTGATTTAAAATGAAGGATACTTCACTAAAGCTCTCCGTGGCCATTTCATTTGTCGCCGAGAATCAAATAAATTACAAGACATTTGAAAAATGGCAAAAAGGAGGGAAAATTCAAAAGGTGGGGTTGAGATGGAAAGTTAGTGTTCTAGTGGATCGAAGTCACGGTAGCTCAAGTGGTAGAACAGCGGCGTATTTAGCCGAAAGTCGTGGGTTCGAATCCCGCTTGTGAAACTAACATTTTCATTTCAACCAATACCTTACATAAAGATTAAATAATTGAAAGAAGTTATCAATCTGACCACGAAATATAATGGATTCTGAATTGTTATGTAGGTTGTATGGCGTTCAAGTAAGTTGTATCATATAGGTTAAATATTATACGATGAATTAACTATTTTTATTGTGATTTAGCTAAAAGGGTCGATTTTTGAGTTTAAAACTGAAAAAGAATGAAAATAAAAGAAAGAAACCGGTGTGGCCAGTACTTCCGCAATCTTTCCGCAATGGTCGACCCTCGGGTGATTCTCACACCTCTTTCGATTAGAACGGGTAATTTATAGTAAAAATCGGAAAGGAATACGAAAGAGTGGCCTTATCCCGCCATCCTCCGGCGGATTGGAAACCTCCGAAAAGCCCTAGGTCCTAGATTATTGGAATCGCAGCCGAGGCATTAATCCTTCGGGTCGCGGTGGAAAGGGTGACAAAGAAAGCTATATATCATCTTGAAAACGGCGGCCCGCCCTTTGAAAAAGCTCTTCGTCGAACTGGAAAAGGCGTGAAATTGGGCATTTGATGTATACCTGAATTAGGCAAAAGCAAATATGTTGGTGGTGTGTCGGCGAAGATGAAAGGCGAAGCCCCCACCATGTGTTTGGTGGGGGCCTAGACCCTTACCTGCTCTCCTCCAGTAGTCCTACGGTAGCTAACATTATCACTTCTGTTTCTTCTACGTCTCCAGGTAAGCTACCCCAAAATATTAATATTGCTTTATCAACTAATTAATTTCTGGTGGGAATTTTCTAGAAAAAATAACACAAAAATATTTATTGCAAATTTCTCATTCATCACTTTCTCACTATCATCTCACGTGAAAACTTGAAACGATAGATATTAATGTAATTAATTTTTAAAAGATTGAAAGATTTTTTTTAATATAAAACGCTATTATATATGTTTAAAAAAAATTAAAAAGCATAATCACAAAATAATGTAGTTTAAAAAAATTAAGGTTATTATGATGCATTGTTAATTACCTTTGACTGTCAATTATTATTTTACAAATATGTACGATTACATATATATACATATATGGGTACATATTTATATCCATATATGTATTTAGTAGTCATAATTTATGCACATATATATGAAATAAATTAATTATACGTTTTATCCAAGGTCTTGGTTGAGATGAAAAAGCTATTGTCTAGAACGGAATTCGAACCCACGACCTTCGGCTCAATACGCTGCTGCTCTACTTGAGCTGTGACACTAGCTTTTCCATCTCAAACAAGACCTTAGATAAAAATTATGATATATATTTATTTAAAAAAATCTCTTCTGTCTGTAGTCGCTCGAATTACGTTTAAAGCAAATTGAACGTCGATTTTACTGTGAATATTCGAAAGTTTGATTTTTCACCATAGTTTCCTTCTTTCTAATCCAATTATTCTCCAAAGTATTAGAGAAAGACCAAAATTTTAAACAGTTTCTGATTTTTTCCCTTAGAGAGTTGAGGAGACATTTGTGCTTTTCTCTTCGACTTTGCTTCCGGGAGAATTTTTTTTAGGGCAAATCAAATTTTACGAGAACGCCGATCTATCAGAAACGTTCGCGTAAATAATTGTTCCTGAACCCTTGTAATGTTTGCAAAAACTGAAATTTCTTAATCTAGGGTTTATACGCTGTTTACAACAGACGATTCTGCGTTGTAGATGTTTACTATTGCTATGTTTACTGGTAAACCACCATATTGACTTTGAGTGTTCAAAACACCAACGACAGATAAAAGAAAGAATTTTGAAATATCCTTTCCAAATAGTTAATATCCCAATCGCCAAAGAAACAATATTTCAACGTTTAATTAATGTATGGTGATTAGTGACCGTTAGTCGATGATTATTTTTTTAGAAATCGTGAGATGCGGTCCGGTGTGATGTAGGTTTCAGAAAAACATTTTCTTTATCGTGCCAACGTTTCGATCTTTATTGAGACCATCTTCAGGGCCTGGGATTTACAAATATTGTTTACATTTAACAAATTCAGATAGGATGTGGAAAAAGTAAGTACATGTATTTATTAAATTTAAACAATGTTTGTAAATCCCCCCCAAATCCAAGGCCCTGAAGATGATCTCAATAAAGATCGAAACGTTGGCACGATAAAGAAAATGTTTTTCTGAAACCTACATCACATCAGACCGCATCTCATGATTTCTGAATAATCATCGTTTAATTAATTTATCGGCTTATTTGTTTTAATTGTATTTATTTATTTTACAATTACAAGGTACAAATAGGGCTTTAAGCCCCTTTACATGTACATATATTAATAATAATAATAAAATATACAAAACAATGACTGAAATATTTTAAAATACATATTAATTATTTATAATTGAGTGATGAAACCACATTACGAAAGAAAAGCAGAAAGAGAAAAAAAGGAAACGGGATACAGAAAAGGTTGGGAAAATGCTGAAAACCTAATTACATTTAACTATATACTTGCATAGCTTAAAAAGTGTTAAATTTGTTTATTTACGTCTAAGCAATGATTTTTAACAATTTTTCAGTTACGCCATTATAAATTTACAATATAAAACAAAATAACGTATATAATAATACTGATTTAATTTTTTTTAAATTTTTATACTCTATTGTAGAAGGAACTGTTAAAAAAAATCAAATTGGCGTAGTTGGTGGGGCGAAGATTTTGCTACTGCAGGTCTGGTTGTATGCCAGGAGTGCGGATCGGCATTTCTTCCTCTTCATAGGTTGGTCTGTTCGTTAACCCGTGTTTATGTCCTTTTTATAAGATCCGACAGCGAAATACCGAAACGCACCTGGTAAAGGAAATAGATTTCCCCATATTTCTTCACTTTCTAAGGAGATTGTTAGGAGTTTGTTGCTTCTCCACATCTTGTAGATATCAGTTCTTCGACACTCCACACTCTTTGGAAAGTTTTGGATCTTTTCAAGTCTGTAAACAGATCATTGCTGACTCAATAATCATTTGAGGTTTTTTCAATATTGGCAGTTGTATGTAGGTTCTGCCAAAAATAGTAAGAAACCGCAGTACATACTATTTAAAGTCCTAACAAGGGGAAGTTCTTGTACTCAAATTCAGAGAAAAGATGTATCCTGCAAAATTTAAAGAGCTTATGCCTCTTGAAGTAGCACTTAGTTCTATTTCGTGGACAAAGTACACGGATCGTTTGCACGTTAGGTCTATGCGATCAGTTTACTATTCTTCTTCAATTTCCCCCTCTCTCCGACGCTTCAGACCCACTGGTAACTATGCGAGTATTTAGGGCTGGGTTTGACAGCTTGCAGTACCTTGGGATCTGTCAAGGAATTTTAAAGAGCACCTAGTCCTATTTGAAGGACGCAGAAAGGTTACTTATTTTTGTTTTTAAACAAGGGTTTTTATGAAAGCTTATATGAACTCTAGGGAGTACTGGTGTGTTTGAAAAACCTTAACCGTTGAGGCCACCGAAGCCGCTCAAGGAAAAGATGGTGAGAACCAAATGACATGCTTTATTAATTAAATCCATTATATTTTGTGGTCGGATTGACCAAATAACTTCTTTCAATTAATTAAACTTTATGGAAGGTATTGGTTGAAATGAAAAAGTTAGTGTCACGAGCGAGATTCGAACCCACGACCTTGGCTCAATACGCTGCTGCTCTACTTTGAACTGTCGTGGGTTCAAAGCCCGCTCGTCGCATTAGCTTTTCCATCTTAACCAAGACCTCAGATAAAAATTATAATCTATATATCATCACTTTTATTTTATTGTTTTGTAATTTATATCCCCAAAATCTTATATCCCTCTTTTTCCTGTAGTCGCTTGAATTACGTTTAAAGCAAATTTAACGTCGATTGTACTGTGAATACTCGAAAGTTTCATCGCAGTTTCCTTATTTCTTCGAAATTCGAAAGGTTGTAGGTTGAGATGGGGAGTTGATTTAAGTGGTCACCTTAAGTGGTTAGAACAGCGGCGTATTGAGCCGAAGGTCGTGAGTTCGAGTCCCGCCCGTGACAATAACTTTTTCATTTCAACCAAAACCTTACATAAAAATAAGTTAAGTTCTTCCAGTTGTAAGGTTATTTCTAGTAGAAATATATAATTTGTTTGCGCGCGCACGTGTATTCATATTTGCATTAGGGTAGAATGCTTTGAGGTCCCTGGAACCCAATCCCTTCGAGGATGTAAGTGGGAATTTCAATACCAGAAGTGATAGCGTCATATTTCCAACGAGATCTTAAACAATAAAAAAAATCCGGCCGTAAAAAGGCGGGTAAAAAATTTGATCCGATATTGGCGGTGAAATCTTGGTCAAAGGGAACTCGGCTTGTTTATAAGAGATAAGTTTTTGTGTCATAAAACCCTTTCCCGAAGGCTGGAGAATGTTCCGAGAAATATAAAATGGAAATTAAGGTGTAATTTACATACCTGTACGACGTGGATTCGAGGAACCGAAAAGGGTTGAAGTAAAAGCCGAGAGTTATTCTTCCCATTTCGGTTAAACCGTGAAATAAATTTGATGGCACCTCATTGACACTCTTTGATGTTGACGTGATCCTTTTTCCCCCCACGGGGAATGGAGAATTATTGATGTGGGCAAGAAAATCATGACTTTTTTACAGTATATATTTTTAGTATCTTATACCTGACATGTTAACTGTACGGAGATGTATTGTCCATTGTTTGCAATTTCTTTTTAGCATGTCCATTCCTTTCGCCTAAAAATTACCATCTTTTGAGTTCAGGAACGTGGTCTCTTTGCTCCAGGAACATTTTAAAAGTTTTGGCCATTTGAAAAATTTGGTATTGACCGAAATAAATAGTAGAAACAAGTGTATGGTGGTTAGTGACCGTTAATCGATAATTATTCAGAAATCGTGAGATGCGGTCTGGAGTGACGTAGGTTTTAGAAAAACATTTTCTTTTTCGTGCCAACGTTTCGATCTTTATTGAGATCATCTTCAGGGCTCAAAGTGTTTGTTTTCTGCGTAAGTGAGCACTTTCAACACGACACGCAAGAATGGCACAATAACGATAAAGAAAATGTTTTTCTGAAACCTACATCACACCATACCGCATCTCACGATTTCTAAATAAGTAGTCACAAGTTGATATGTCCGGAGAGTATGGCAGTTGTGGTTAAATTTCCCAATTCAGATTAGTTAATAATTGTTTGGTCCTTAAAGCAACGTAGAGGCCGTAGTTGTCATGGTGAAAGACTTTTCTGTTTGCTTTTGCAGCCTTTTTTCCAAAAAGTTAACCTGATTAGGCTAGCTGTTCACAGTACAGTTCACTTTTAACCGTTTGCCCTTGTAGTAAGAGCTCAAGATGACAGGGGCCAGAACGTGCCCCACCAAATTTCGTGCAATTGTTGTTTTGGAACAACTTGGGGCCGTTGACTGGTTTGGCAATAAACTTTTTTTTGCAGAATTTGTATGTGATCCGTTTTGCATCACCTGCTACCGATCTATGAAGAAATAGGGACGACAGGGAACTGAAGAGCAAACTGAGATGCGATTCGCCAAATTCCTTTCGTTGATTTCGTGTGGGATCCATGTAGTGTACTTTTGAACAAACCCACCGAGTCTTTGGATGTGGTTAAATGGATCTATGGGAAACATTTAACATCTTTCTTGTTTCGAGTCGTCAAAACGGGACTTTCTTCTGGCCTATGCCTCAATATGTCGTCGTCACCCTCACAAGGACGTCCACTGCTCGCATCATCTTTAAGAACAAAATTTCCTGTTATAAATCGAGCAAACAGTCGTTGTATTTTCGAAACAGTTTGCATTCCGTTTTTAAAATTCGTACAGTAAACAATGTCTTAAATGCATTTCATCCGAAGGCATGATTACCTATTGAATTATCCGACACAACTAAAGACGTGATAACAATAACTGAGGAGAAATAAAGCATTTTAATTTAAGGATTAAACAAGCAGATTTGTAAATGAAAATAATATAGAAAAATTATCCAGAAATCGTGAGATGCGGTCTGGTGTGAAGTATGTTTCAGAAAACATTTATTTAGAAATCGTGAGATGCGGTCTGGTGTGATGTGGGTTTCAGAAAAACATTTTCTTTATCGTGCCAACGTTTCGATCTTTATTGAGATCATCTTCAGGGCTCAAATTGTCTGTCTTCTGTCGCCATTCTTGCGTGTCGTGTCGAGAGTGCCAGTCTCAATAAAGATATAATACGTTGGCACGATAAAGAAAATGTTTTTCTGAACCCACATCACACCAGACCGCATCTCACGATTTCTAAATAAATATCGATTAACGGTCACTAATCACCACACACGTTTCAGAAAACCTTTTTCTTTATTTACAAACGTTTCGATGTTTATTGAGATCATCTTCAGGGCCTGGGATTTACAAACATTGTTTAAATTTAACAAATACTTGTAGGATGCGGAAAAAAGTGAATTTATACGATGCAAAAAAATATATTTCTTATACAATCAAAGTATTTCTACTCACTCAAAGTGTTTGTTTTCTGCGTAAATATAAAAAAATGTAAATAATAAGGTAATTAATGTTATTATTGAGAAACGACGTTACTTTCTTGCCATAGGCTAAATTGGCTCAGTAGGGCAAAAACCATGCAGTATCATTAATTTAAATATTACATTTAGAAAAGGCCGTTTATTTAAAATCCTTCATCCTGGCAAGTTTCAACTTCTTCGTGTCTTCATTTCTTCATTTAAAGTAGAACTAATTATATTTGAGATCGACAAGCTTAGTTTATTGATTCATCGAATTTTTGAACATGTATACATTATTAATAAAATCAACGGAAAAATTACAACAAAAGCGTTACTTGTGACAATAGTTCCATATAATATCTGGTGGTTGAACTTGGTAAAACCCTTGGACTTGGTAGTTCACGGTACTTTGCCGGCAAACCCCGGATTGATTTGGACCGATCCACAAATATTTTAATTAGAAACTGGACTCTTGTGTCCTTTGAAGCTCTTTCGGCCTACAAATATCACGTCCGGAGTGTCCTGTTAGGTCCAGCCCGACTGGGGGCACTAAGCCGCAGGTAACGGATTCTCCAAGAATCGTTTCAAAACGTTTTTCGGAAATTGAAGAAATTGGTAAATATGAACCAGTAATCTGTGTCAATTAAATTCTAAAACAAAAGTTTTACTTCTTTTAGAACTCGTCTAAGAGCTGCATTCTATAATTTTTTGTAAATATTTCTCTGAAGGTAACTGGGATAATTCTACAAGTCAGATGTGTCTAATTAGGGTTGTTAAAAAGCATCTATCCTTAATTGGTCTTGAAAGAGAATTCTTTAGCTCTTTAGAAACATGGGTGTAATTAGGTCAAAGAATCTACATTCTTACTGAAGTTAGCCGATAAGAAAAAAGGCCGTTATGTTCTTTAGGTTTTGATCAATTTTATAATTTATAAAATTAAAAGCTTTTCTTTTTTTTTAGAATGGCCACATGAGCCAGACGGACTGAAGCGTGTCAACAAGTAGAGGCATTGCTGCTAAATCTTAAGGTGAGAAGCTATATCGCTATTTAAAATTAAATTTTTAACCGGGTGGTTTAAAGAAAAAAAAAAAAGATCTGCAAATAATAGCCGGTGGGAAAAAAAGACCTTTGTGACATTCCTAACTGCATTTTTACTGTCACTATAAAAACTGTGGGAGCACGAGCCTGGGCATAAAATATTCGATCCTTTCCACGCGTTGACATCATCATTTGCTGCGCGTTTTGTCAATGGTGGTTCTACTCACAGCTTTGTTGTTTGAATCGATCCGGATTTGAAGCATTAAACGCTCATCATCAGTTCGGAAGAGTTACAAACACGTTTCCTGACGAATTGTGAAAGTGAAGCCGCCGATCCACCGCCAGCCCGACGAAATGTTCCAATGAGAAGCTGGTNGTTTTTGATAGGATGTTTCTAAGTAAAGTAACTCTAAAAGCTACTTTAAAACCTTCTCATGTAAGAATTTTACCTACTTTTTCTGATAATTTACCAATATGTAACAAGCTACAAAGGTTGGGGTTCATTTTTCATTGGGGGTTCATTTCAGTTCATTTTTGGTTGGGGTGGCTGAGCCCGATTGTTGCTTCTGCAAAGTTAATTTATTAACGTATCAATAAATATTTATTAATGTCCATTGTTTTTAGCTAAGGTTGTAATTGTTTGTAATTATTTTTTGTAATTAGCATGTGTTAATTGGAGTTTCAACATACGGTCTATGAGCCAAATAAATCTAGCAGCTTTTTGGGTCCATGGGTGAGAATCTGCTGGTATCTTAGTGACTTTAGTTGTGGGTTTTCTATATATGTCTATTTCTATTAGGCCGTTTATTATGTACAGTTTTAAATCTAAAAATTTTAAATAAACGTCTTTATTTATTTCCAATGTAAAATTTATACCTTAAATGTAAAGAATTAATTAATTGGAGGAATTTGTTTAGATGCTCTAGTGTTCCCGCCATGTATATTTCATCTACATAGCTTTTCCATTTGATTTCAAAAGAATTTTTTCAAAGTATCCGTGAGTATTTCGGCACAAAGTGGGGATAATACCTCATTTGTAACCGTTTCATTCCATAAAATTTATTATTAAATTTACAATAATTAGGTCGTAGGCATATATTTAAGAGGTCTATTATAACATTTTTTACAAATGCGTAAAAATGTTATCAATAAGTGTGTGGTGATTAGTGACCGTTAATCGATAATTATTCAGAAATCGTGAGATGCGGTCTGGGGTGACGTAAGCTTCAGAAAAACATTTTCTTTATCGTGCCAACGTTTCTATCTTTATTGAGATCATCTTCAGTGCCTGGGATTTACAAACATTGTTTAAATTTAACAAATACGTGTAGTATGTGGAAAAAAGTGAATTTATACAATGCAAAAATAATCATAAGTTTTATGATTAAAAGTTATCAATAAGTTTTTCTTTGATTAGTTTGAAAAGAATCTACGTACTCACTCCACCTTCGTCATTTCTGTCATCATTTACTTTTCATCACTTTTCGTTTTCCTTCCCCTCTTGTTTCATTTCTCCCAGGTTTTAATTCGTCCGCGCCTATCATTACACAGTACACACCAAGAATGATTATCAACATTGAATAATTTTTCAAGGCCAGAAACTCTTGGGGCCTTCACGGTCAGTGGGACACCTGCACGATACAGGTAAGGACTGCAGGAGGGCGAGGGTTCCTCATCAGTTATCCAAGTCGAAGATCAAAGGCGGTTGAATTGTACGGCTAAGCTCAGCTAAACATGGATCCAGTTTTATGACGTGCTTGTAAATCCGAAATCTTTCGGCACATCATTTCTAAATTGTCAAAGAATATCTGAATATATTGTTTTAGAGTTTCTGAATTGCATATTATAACAATTAAATGGAAAACGTCACCAACTCGATAGTTGTTTTACATTTTCTAGACGTTTTACTTCGCTCGGATTCAATAAAATTTAAATCGAATTATTCGGAAATCGTGAGATGCAGTCTGGTGTGATGTAGGTTTCAGAAAAACATTTTCTTTATCGTGCCAACGTTTCGATCTTTATTGAGATCATCTTCCTCCTGGGATTTACAAACACTGTTTAAATTTAACAAATACATGTAGGATGCGGAAAAAATGAATTTATACAATTCTGGACAATTTTATGTTAAAAAAACGATTTATATAGTGCTAGAAAATTTTAGGTAAAAAAATGAATTTATACAATGCTAGAAAATTTTAGATTAAAATTTTTTTTATTATTTATTATATTTTATTTTTTTAATCTAAAATTTTCTAGCGTTGTATAAATTCATTTTTTTATCTAAAATTTTCTAGCACTATATAAATCGTTTTTTTCTATATTCTACTTGTATATGTAAAATTTAAACAATGTTTATAAATCCCAGGCCCTGATGATGATCTCAATAAAGGTTGAAATATTGGCATGATAAAGAAAATGTTTTTCTAAAACCTACGTCACACCAGTCCGCATCGCAAATAAAAGGATTTTTGTAAAGTATTTTTTTTATTTATTTTTCATTTATTTATGTATTACACGCATGCTTAAGATTATGAGTATATCAGACAGCCCAACATTCTGAATATGGAAGATTGACAATTTTTATTTTTTATTTTTTAGTTGCTGTTTCAGATGTATGTCATAAGTTGGAATTTTCAGCTTCCAACCAGGCGTTTTATTTTTATTTTCTTTAATTCTCGTCTAAGTTCGGTAAAAGATTGTTTAGAGTTGGTATCACCATCGGCGAATTATATATTTTTACTTTCTTGCGCCATTATCAATTTTCTCTTTCAGTAATTAATTATCCTTCAATATCGATTTGTTTTGGAAACTGAGATTAATGCTGGATTTATTTATTTATTTCCATATACGGCTGATGCCTAATTTACATAGACAAACATTATATGTAAAACAATTGAAATATTGGACACGTATAAAATATATAGGAACAACTTTTTTTAAATTCACTACTTTTCGCGGTCCGCTTGGCTAATTAATATCTTTCAATTAATTAAGGGTTTTAGTTGAGATAAAAAAAGTCAGCGTCACGAGCGGGATTCGAACCCACGATCTTCGGCTAGATACGCCGCTGTTCTACCACTTGAGCTATCGTGACCTCGAATTAAAAAAAAAAATGTTTTAAACATTTTAACTTAATTAATATTTTTATTTTTTTATATATTTTTTAACTCTTGTTTAAATCTGTAAGAGGCATTAAATAAATCTATATTTTGTATATTTCCTTAATCGCTAAATTATATTAATGAGAGAGTGGGACTGGTAGAGGTTAGTGGAGCGGTGAGGAGGGACATTGGATAATGATAAATTATGAGTTTTGTATTTAGGAACCATCAACATTATGTAAGAAAGTAGCTCAGGCTTTGAGGTTATCTTAGTGAATATTTTGTAGAGAAAAACACAGTCAAACTTAGTTCTTCTTGTGTACAGGGTTTTAATGTTCAGAACAGACATGAAATCATAGTTGCAATCGAAATTATTGTTCAAAACTGTGAATCGTTACGATACTGTTGATTTGAGAGGAGTAATGCGGAGACTAGACAATAGAAAAAAATCAAGTACGGTTGAACAAAATAGGTAAAGAGTAGATTCAATATTTCTATATTTTTAAAAGCTTTATAATAGCAAATTAAAGACCCTAGTGTTTTTGGATTATTAGAGCAAATATTAGATATATGGTGTCTAAAGGATAATTGATAGTCAAAGTGAATAGCTAAATTTTTAATTAAATCCACTTTAATAACAGTTTCATTCTTTACACAGTAGATAGTATACATTACATAGTACAGTAGAATTACATAGTAATTAAGTCAGTAGATGTGTTAATAATAGAAAAGGGTGATTGATTATGATTGATAATGATTAAAATAATTTTTTTAATTACTTATCTGAGACTAGAAAGGAAAAAGATTTGGTCCTTTCTTTGTACAAATGGAACAGTGCATAGCTTTGAAGAGTTCATATTGCGTAGGTGATCAATCTCTGTATACAAAACGTTTAAAAATATGTTGTGTATTTAACAGCATGTCCAGAAATATTCCACCAGTGGTGAGGAGACATTAAATAGTCTTATTGAATATTTTAAGCGTATGAGTGAGAGAATTCGTCGCTAGAAAATTTTTACAATAAATTCAATGCAATATTAATGCATAGAAGTAATAAATAATCGATAAATCAACCGATAATGACTATTATTTAAAAAAAAATCTATTTAAAGTGTTAGATGTATCGACCATTATTTTACTTGAATAATTTGGATCTGAATGGTTTCAAATCCATCAGACTCCGTCTAACTACAAAGAAATTTGAAACCATTTATTAAAAACTGAACTAGAGCAATTTATAAACATTTGTTAGATGGTTTTGCCACGGCGGTGACCTTAAAATAGGTCGAAACTTAGCAGATAAAAATTGAATTATTATTAAATTCACTAGTTTCGTGGTCCGCTTGACGAATTAATATCTTACAATTAATTAAGGTTTTCAGTTGAGATAAATAAGTCAATGGCACGAGCGGGATACGAACCACCATCTTCGGCTTGATACGCCGCATCTCTACCACTTGAGCTATCGTGACCTCGATCCACTTGACACCAACCTCCCATCTCAACCACACCTTTTGAAGTTTCCCTCATTTTTCATTTTTTCAAGCCAAAATTCAAAAGGTGTGGTTGAGATGGATGGGAGGTTGGTGTCAGAGTGGATCGAGGTCACGATAGCTCAAGTGATAGAGCAGCGGCGTATCAAGCCGAAGATCGTGGGTTTGAATCCCGCTCGTGTCATTGACTGTTTTATCTCAACTGAAAACCTTAGTTAATTGTAAGATATTAATTGGTCACGCGGACCACGAAACTAATGAATTTAATAAGTTTAAAATGAAGTATACTTCACTAAAGCTCTCCGTGGCCATTTCATTTGTCGCCGACAATCAAATTGATTACACGACATTTGAAAAATGGCAAAAAGGATGGAAAATTCAAAAGGCGTGGT